CTGATTTTTTGAAATATTTTTTTGAAGTTTGAAATTGTAAGAATCAAAACCATTGTTCCTTTCTTTGTCTTCAGCAATATCTCAGTTATTCTGGAAAGAAAATTGCTTCTGCTAGATTTTAATCAAAAGCGTTTCTAATGAACCAACTCTTTTAACTGATGGTGAATCCTCATGGACTTTGTAAAGTGGTAGAGATATTTTGAGAACATGTATGTATACAGGATCTGTGATATTGATATGCTCTGCTGGATCTCGTGGTATTTTATCCCCCAATGCCAGGGTTTATATAATGCTTTCCAGTGTTTTGTGCTAACATCATCTGCTCCTCTATCTAGTCTTCTTGCATTTTATACATGTCATCTGTACATGTCGTGTAATAAGAAAATACATGAAAAAATTCCCTTAAACAAATGATCATTCTGCTGTATCCAATGGTATGTGTTGACAACAGAGACTTAAGAAAGTGTCTCCATCATGGTATCCTGCTATATCCAGCGGTATGTGTTGACAACAGAGACTTAAGAAAGTGTCTCCATCATGGTATCCTGCTATATCCAGCGGTATGTGTTGACAACAGAGACTTAAGAAAGTGTCTCCATCATGGTATCCTGCTATATCCAGCGGTATGTGTTGACAACAGAGACTAAGAAAGTGTCTCCATCATGGTATCCTGCTATATCCAGCGGTATGTGTTGACAACAGAGACTAAGAAAGTGTCTCCATCATGGTATCCTGCTATATCCAGCGGTATGTGTTGACAACAGAGACTTAAGAAAGTGTCTCCATCATGGTATCCTGCTATATCCAGCGGTATGTGTTGACAACAGAGACTAAGAAAGAGTCTCCATCATGGTATCCTGCTATATCCAGCGGTATGTGTTGACAACAGAGACTAAGAAAGTGTCTCCATCATGGTATCCTGCTATATCCAGCGGTATGTGTTGACAACAGAGACTTAAGAAAGTGTCTCCATCATGGTATCCTGCTATATCCAGCGGTATGTGTTGACAACAGAGACTTAAGAAAGTGTCTCCATCATGGTATCCTGCTATATCCAGCGGTATGTGTTGACAACAGAGACTAAGAAAGAGTCTCCATCATGGTATCCTGCTATATCCAGCGGTATGTGTTGACAACAGAGACTAAGAAAGTGTCTCCATCATGGTATCCTGCTATATCCAGCGGTATGTGTTGACAACAGAGACTTAAGAAAGAGTCTCCATCATGGTATCCTGCTATATCCAGCGGTATGTGTTGACAACAGAGACTAAGAAAGAGTCTCCATCATGGTATCCTGCTATATCCAGCGGTATGTGTTGACAACAGAGACTAAGAAAGTGTCTCCATCATGGTATCCTGCTATATCCAGCGGTATGTGTTGACAACAGAGACTTAAGAAAGAGTCTCCATCATGGTATCCTGCTATATCCAGCGGTATGTGTTGACAACAGAGACTTAAGAAAGAGTCTCCATCATGGTATCCTGCTATATCCAGCGGTATGTGTTGACAACAGAGACTAAGAAAGAGTCTCCATCATGGTATCCTGCTATATCCAGCGGTATGTGTTGACAACAGAGACTAAGAAAGAGTCTCCATCATGGTATCCTGCTATATCCAGCGGTATGTGTTGACAACAGAGACTAAGAAAGAGTCTCCATCATGGTATCCTGCTATATCCAGTGGTATGTGTTGACAACAGAGACTAAGAAAGAGTCTCCATCATGGTATCCTGCTATATCCAGTGGTATGTGTTGACAACAGAGACTAAGAAAGAGTCTCCATCATGGTGATTGTCTGTCCTCTTTTCCTGGTTTCTCTGATTTTTCATCATTTACTGTTTATGTGTCGAAACCAAAAAAAACAAGAAAGGACCTATTAGATCCCACTACAAGCAATTTGCCTGCCCTATCTATGTACAGTATAATAGGAGGTGACCTACATCAAAGAACCTGTAGAATCTACATGGAGGGGAGGGCCGTCAAAACAGACAGAAATTTATCACCTCTTTAAAGAAAATCTGAAAAATCATTTCTGCAATTCAACCTTGTAGTTTTACTTCAATATCTGATTGGGATGACCCTGTAATATCTCGAGGACAATTATTATCTTAGATTTTACCTGACCATGTTACCACGATTCACCTGACAATCTGACATTAGCCAGGTTCCACCATGCTCATCTTCTGCAGTCTTTATATTACATAGTAAATACAAGCTGGTGGCAGAGCTTTGTGTACAGTTAAGCCATTTGATACTTCTGTCTCCTGTCAATGAATAACGGGGCCAGAACTCAATGATTAAGCGGCATGGCACTGAACCATGACTGGAACATAACCCAACATTTCCACACTAGTATGAACAATACAACTGGAATAGTGCCAGTTGTATATTCGGAAGTACATGTATATTAATGACAGATTCTGATAGCTGTGCAAAGTTTACCTGGACTGTTCTTCAAGGCACACCTTCATGTACAACAGGTACAGGTGAATCACATAATCAGTTTGGATCCTCACTTTGTTTTAAATTTGCAAATACAGAAAACAGGTGTTTAAGTGTTAAGATTGAATATTACTGAAATTATGTATACATTGATTGGATATGCTGAAAGCTAGCCACTAATCTCCATTTACACTGGACAGAGAGACGTATAACTGAATACCATTCAGGTTGGTATGGAATATTACATACAAGGTTTAGAGTTGTTGAAAATCATGCAGTGTTTGTTATTTTGTGTATGTCAGTCTCTGTGTCATTATCAGCTGGTGTAACCACTGGTTCTACTAGTGCTCTGTACATGTGAAGCCAACTCACTGCTTCCATCGTGACTCTTGCTGAATGCTTAAACTTTGTTGGTGAGATAAACAACACAAGAGACAGCAGCTATGTGATGGAGATTGCGGTGTCCAATCTTTCTGGTATTGATCACGACATCTCCCTCTATTCACTGACTTGTTTTCCATTCTGGTTGTATGTGTCTGTCTGTCATTCTTAGAGTATGATAAAGTGATGTGCTGACCTTCTGTAACCAAAAGTCAGGGACGTACATGCATGTTTCTCCCTGACTGTTTACACATCTATAAAGATGTTTTATAGTAACAGTTGTGACATTTAAATTTCCAGATACTACAACTGTCAATGATTGTATTCAAACTAATATATCTAATTTGATAACTGTTAATTATATCATACCTACATGATTTTTAGTGTGTTGGTTATAAACGCACAAGGTTGACTGCTTGGATAAATGTTTATACACTACTTCATATATCTGTTAAGCATTGCCTTCAGTTACACTGTTTGTGTAGGGATTTCTCTCTTTTACCATCAAAGTAGGACATATTTCATAAAATAAGAGCACTTCTCATGGTGATATAAACTGATATTGTGTTTTGTTTCTGATGCTATAATTTGGCTTTGTGTCCTGCTGTCCTTCCCTCTTTCTGTCATTGTCACCAGAATTTTATACTTGGGGTATATGTTTGGTTCTCCTTGATGTGTGTGTGCCTGTGTATGGGAGGGGGATGGGATCATGTATCAAAAAGAAAGTGACCTTTGACCTATAACAAATTAAAAAATTGTCTGGGGTCTTATCTCCTATACTAGTTGTCAGTGGAACATCATCCTAAATGTGTGGGTAAACATCTTGGTGTGTTGATGTCCTGATAGGGAGTGACAGTCTCTGTTGACTGCCACCAGTGATGTCCTGATAGTGAGTGACAGTCTCTGTTGACTACCACCAGTGATGTCCTGATAGTGAGTGACAGTCTCTGTTGACTGCCACCAGTGATGTCCTGATAGTGAGTGACAGTCTTTGTTGACTGCCACCAGTGATGTCCTGATAGTGAGTGACAGTCTCTGTTGACTGCCACCAGTGATGTCCTGATAGTGAGAGGCAGTTTTTGTTGACAGTCACCAGTGATGTCCTGAAAGTGAGCAGCAGTCTTTGTTGACTGCCACCTGTGATGTCCTGATAGTGAGTGACAGTCTCTGTTGACTGCCACCAGTGATGTCCTGATAGTGAGTGACAGTCTCTGTTGACTGCCACCAGTGATGTCCTGATAGTGAGTGACAGTCTCTGTTGATTGCCACCCATGATGTCCTTATAGTGAGTGACAGTCTCTGTTGACTGCCACCAGTGATGTCCTGATAGCGAGTGACAGTCTCTGTTGACTGCCACCAGTGATGTCCTGAAAGTGAGTGACAGTCTCTGTTGACTGCCACCAGTGATGTCCTGATAGTGAGTGACAGTCTCTGTTGACTACCACCAGTGATGTCCTGAAAGTGAGTGATAGTCTCTGTTGATTGCCACCAGTGATGTCCTGATAGTGAGTGAGTCTTTGGTGTGATGTCCTGATGAGTGACAGTCTTTGAAATATATGTCCTATATCTGTGATGAAGATTTATGAAAAAAAACTGTCAACATTGACAAGCATTTACTGTTTTCATCCTTATAAGTCTAGGTGGCCAACACATGATCACATCCTACTCAAAATCAGATGGTGGGCTCATTAAAATGATCTCTGTTGAACAAAGTAGAGGATGTCCTGGAAGTGAGTGACAGTCTTGTTGACTGCCACCAGTGATTTGTTGACTGACAGTCTTTGTTGACTGCCACCAGTATGTCCTGGAAGTGAGTGATTATATATAGTTGGACTTGGTTCCAGACTTGTGGTTATTACTGGATACATACAGTACCTGTAACAGGTACAGAAATATGTGACTGATTCATCAAACAAAGTGAAAGAGTATTTATATATAGTTGGACCATTATGTGTGTTGAAATATGTGACGTTCATCAAACTGAAGAGTATTTACCATTATGTGTGTTGAACGTTAATGGTTTGGTAATCCATTAATTGTTACTAACCTGATCACTATTTTCCATTACAGATAACAGAATGACCAATGGTCATCAGGGACAGGCTATATATAGAGAGATTAAGTACTGACCATTCATTATCCAGTGATGATAATCCTCAGGCTCTGACACCGTAACCATGGCATTCCTTGGATACAGTGACGATTTTGACCTTGATGATGATGGAATCCTTCGAGACTCTGCTTCATGTGAGTATATGTTCTCATCTGACAAAAATGGGTTATCATAATCAGTGAAACGGGATTCATTACTGCCAAGTTATGCATACTTATGGCAACACATTGCAATTTGCAGTTTAATGGAATGTTGTTGAGAATCTTAGGTGCGTCAAATAACATTTGAAACATGACAGTGGATTTTGAAAATTTCAAAAATTCACTACAAAACATCAAAATTTGATTGGTTGACCACGTGATAGATGTAAATATTAGTTTTAATGTTGTACTTGTTTACAGGTGTATACTGTACCTGTTGAGATATGAATCAATATTATAGATGTTCTCGATACTACTATAATGGGTAGGTTTAGTGTAAGTGTTTATCTGTGTATGGACATATAGACACTGTTACGTTAGTACAGATCAATATCAGACTATTACAATGGGTTATTGTTGTCAGACAGACCTATTACACTGCTATGTAAAACTTTATATAATAAGTGACATAACAGGCAGAACTATAGTACTTAGACAGACCTATTACACTGCTATGTGAAAGTTTACAATATGTGACATTATCAGGGAGAACTATACTACTGTAGACAGACCTATTACACTGCTATGCAAAAGTTTACAGTATGTGACATTATCAGGGAGAACTATAGTACTTAGACAGACCTATTACACTACTATGTAAAAGTTTACAGTATGTGACATTATCAGGGAGAACTAAAGTACTGTAGACAGACCTATTACACTGCTATGTAAAAGTTTACAGTATGTGACATTATCAGGGAGAACTATAGTACTGTAGACAGACCTATTACATTGCTATGTAAAAGTTTACAGTATGTGACATTATCAGGGAGAACTATAGTACTGTAGACATACCTATTACACTGCTATGTAAAAGTTTACAATATGTGACATTATCAGGGAGAACTATAGTACTGTAGACAGACCTATTACACTGCTATGTAAAAGTTTACAATATGTGACATTATCAGGGAGAACTATAGTACTGTAGACAGACCTATTACACTGCTATGTAAAAGTTTACAATATGTGACATTATCAGGGAAAATTATAGTACTATAGAGAGAATTATTACACTGCTATGTAAAAGTTTACAGTATGTGACATTATCAGGGAGAACTATAGTACTGTAGACAGACCTATTACACTGCTATGTAAAAGTTTACAGTATGTGACATTATCAGGGAGAACTATAGTACTGTAGACAGACCTATTACACTGCTATGTAAAAGTTTACAGTATGTGACATTTTCAGGTAGAACTAAATAGGCTCCTTCAAAGTTTGGAGGTCCTGACATTGGCCTCATTTGGTTTGCCTCAATACTTCTACAAAGTTTCAAGCACATGCACAGTTGGACTGATAAAGATCCTAACATTTTCTGTTAAGGATTTGATTATTTGTTTAAAATCTGCTAGATAAGCAACTTTGTTAACAATTCTTATAGTGGTTCAAACAATCACGGTGTGGAAACATCCATACACCCATTAGCATGTCTTTTGGCATTCTAAGAGTCATGGTTGATTCAGACATACTTCTGTTGTTCTAAAATGAGGTCAACATGAATTTTGTATGTAAAGACCCATGGGGACCTAATGCACCAGATATATCTTAAGCATCGTAAACTTCTACAGGTGTACATATTAATAACTACCTAGTTGTTTAAGTGCTGACACAACTTTGATCTCAATGTGTATTTCTGCCCTCCAATGTTTACTTTGTACTTGAAGTGTTTTTATGTATACTGGAAATGTTTATTGAATTGTGGCCATTTTTCTATGGAACTTGACTGAATTTAAACCTGACCAGTTTTCACACTGATATAACATAATCTTTTCACTGACTGGTCAGTAGACTGTTTTACAGATATTTGTCAGCTTTGGTGTCTGAATTACAGCTTCTCAATGTTTTATCCAGTTTTATTTCCTAGCTTTGAAATATAATTTCACAGAGAAACTAATATCTGTACATCTGTAAATGAGTTGGTTTAATAGATTAACAATTTGTGCAAACGTTAAAGATTTTGTTTTCTGAAAGATTTTTTTATTGCAAGGTTTCAGGCTAACTAAGGCACTGTTTCTCACAGTGTCAATGACAATCAATGAGATTAAAAAAATCTAAACAGGATTGATCATGACCAACCATTGAAGCTACTACTATCACACACTTCGTTCTGTGACTCGCTGTCTTTAAAGCTTCTTCTGTGTTTGTACTACTTCTGTAATAGACTTTCCTCTAAATCTGACCCGAAGGCCTACTGCATGCTCATCCATTCAATGTTTAAATGAAGAATTTACTGGGAGATAAGTCAGTTGACTCGGAGACCAGTATTCTGTGCGTTACTAGTTATAGTGTAAGGGATAGAGGCCTGCATGTTACAGTATAAGGTTGTTCTAAAGAACATGACAGTCTTGTGAAAAAGGTAAGATGGCAGTTTCTTCGAAACTTATGTATCTTGAATATACAGTATAAAGTGGAGTATAGATAAATTATTTTGTATTTGAATTGAAATAATATAAAAAAAAAATGATGAATACGATTTACGATATTTAAAACTAATACTATTAGATTGAACTTTCACAAACTAATGAAAAAATTCAGATATTTCATTAGTGGACTATATTTGAGGTTTTTGTTGGAAAATTCATTATAATGCCATTAAAGATTTGTTGGTGACATAAAACTGGTTAGATCTCTGTCTGGTATCAAATCCTTTATTACACAGAGTCGACCACAGTATTCTGATATTGGGGAAAATGTCATCCAAAATTTATCACTCCATATGTTATATATGTATGTGTTGACATCTGTTAGTGGCGACCTGATATACCCTGTACTTTGAGATATAAACCTCTCCACACTTATCATGTTGTACATATAATATAAGATGTCATAAACTGGATGGAAATCGTTTGTAGGCTTTATAATGTTGGAGACTCTTAACTCTTCAAAGTCAGCAACTTTGAGTGTATACCTGAACAGGTAAGGTAATAATGAAGGAAACAGGCCAACGTGAAGGTACATGTAGGTAAAAAGAAATGAAATTTGGAATCTAAAAGTATGTAAAACATAACGAAATTTGGAGTTTAAAGGTTTGTAGAAAGTAAAGATAAGTAAAAAGTAGTGAATTTTGGTGTCTTATACTCAAAACCCAAACTAGAAATATTTTGAAACTAGGGAAAGTAAAAAGTACGAAAATTTTGAATCTGGACACATGGCAACATCAGCTTCAGATATAACAACTTTGTGATAGTAGTTTTTACACCTGATTCTAGATTCAAAATATATACCGGTTTCATGTCAAATTTGTCATATCCCCTATCATGGAGGATTCCAGTACATGTGAACTAGCTTCAGCTGTTACAGTTGTTAGTATGATAACTTTTAAGTTTACCATGATAAAACACTGATGTGTATATAATGGTCGAAGGGTTTGGCATTTATTAATCTATGGATTCTCAAAGTGTAAAACAATACAATATTAAAACTTCTTGTAGTCAGTATCCTGTTTTTACTAACTCAGGGACTTTATGTTGGCTCTGAGAGGCTTAAGGTGTTTAGAAGTGATTCTTAGAATTATGAAATTCTGTTTGTCCAAAAACAAGTTTATGCTGATGGTCCAGATTGTAGATGAATATCAAAAAAGGAGTTTTTATAATTACATTTAATTGATGGCAATGACATACTGAATTTCAAAAACAGCGATTTCACTATTAAATTCTTAACTTAATGTTGTTCTGTAAGAAAGACATTATGGATCGGAGTTTATATATAAACATATATCCCTTTGTAGGTCAGATCAGCAGTGCTGAAAATCAAATTACCAGGTTGTATTGTATTGTTACAGAGTAACTTAGGCATAATCCAGACACACACCGAAGAGAGATTTTATTGACTTTGTAGAAATGTGTTTATATATAATACAGAGAGACTTAGCTAGATATTAGGTCTATATTTAAACAAACACTTCATATAGCGGGGAGTATATCTGTAAACTTAAAACGATACTTCTGGATCTTATAGAATTTTTTTTTGTCCTGGTTAAGCATACAGACTAATTGATACCTAATATAATGTTCTCCCAAAACCCTCCTATAATATGGGTGGCCAGATTATCAAAGCTTACTTTAAATTTGTGAAGAAAACATTTCCAGGAATTCTGTGAATGAAAAAAGATTTTATCTGTAAATATTAAGATGTAAACATATGTCTGTCTGACCTTAAATAGTATTTCTCCAATTGACATCTATTGTTGCTAAAATGGGGCAACCGATGTAGTTTTGTTGTTGTCAACATATGTTCAACACATTATGTTGTGATATTAATTATTGATGTACAAGGTATGTTGAAGTGACTTTAATTGCCCAGGACCATTATATTATACAAAAAATGGCTGTTTACTGTTCTTTTTGTGTATAGTTAGTTAATAGTTGATTATGGAGTGAATAGTCTTGTGCATTACATCTCCATGGTGATGGAGCAAGTTATTGCTGTGGGAGATACACTGCATTTTCCATCTACTAAGGGTATTTCAGTGTTGGTTATAAATAATTAAGCTGAGCCCTTGATTATGGTGATCTGTTGACAGTCATTACAACTCTACAAACTAGTCTCATATGTATAAATATATAAGGGGCTCAAATTAGAATAAAATAATACCAAAGAGCAGTGAAGCATTATAATGGTCATCGACCGTCTGCTCCTGTCTTGTTTGCAATACATAAAGTTCAACGTATATTGACAAATTGGTAATATTTTGTAACATTGTATGCATGAAAATGAAAAGACATAGCCAATCGGATGTTAGTTTGCTTTTTCAACCAAATCAGTGTACATGAAAATAGAAATATTATTTGTTAAAGTAAGCAATTTACAACCAGCAGAAAATTTCTAAACGATGTAAATGTGTTGCTTGTTTTTAGGACTGTGTTCTTGTGTTATATGAGTAGAAACCTGATCATTATTCAATAGTTGAACAGTTGAACTGGGCCCTGCTTCTCTTATACAAGTCTCTATAATTTATTTACTAAAGGCTGAAGTAAAGTCAGTTATTGGCCTGTCCATGGTGGAATCTCATATAACTTAGGGTATAAGAATTAAAAGGATTTCAAATTTCATGTCATTTAGGCAGATAAAGTGATTTTGCTTTCAAAGAAAATCACATGAAGGGTAGATAAAATGATTGAAATCATATATTACTAGGACTCGATGTTATATATTACTAGAACTAAATTCCTTTTTTGTCATTTTACTAAAGTATTTAATAGCTCCAGTTCACATTTAACCTTGCTCATTTTCTAACCAATTTTCTTTTCTCATTTTAGCTGGTGGTATACTTATTGACGATGATGGGATAGTAAGAGATGATTTTGATGCTCAGAGTAAGTACACCTCTCGCAGTTCTACTACCCACTGGACAGATTCTGGACTAGGTGGAGACAAGCAGTCGGGTGGAAGCACATCAACCATCCGTCAGTTTGACCTTCAATCCTACCCTAGCTATGAGGCTTTAGAGGACAGTCGCGTGAACATCAGTGACCTTGAGGCATCCAAAGATGACCTCAGTTTTGAGGGGGATGCGTTCAGGAACAGTTTTGACAGAGACACTGGTTATGACAATGGAAATGTTCGGTCACCATCTGGTAAACTCCAAAGTGATCTTCAGAGTGCACTTAGCAGTAGAAGCAGCTTTGAACACTCATTAACGTTTGATGATACAAATGATAATTTCAAAAGTACAACTGATTCAGGAAACAAGGAATTATTTGATTCGGATTATTATAAACAGTTGGAGGAACTTGGTGTTTTAATTGATGGTGCAGAATTAGCTGAACCTCTGGCTTCTCTCGATGAGTTTGAAATATTAGAAGATCATGTGTCAAGGGAAGATATTGAATATTCTCCCGAACCCAACAATTCTTTTGATAACTTATTGAAGAAAACTCCAATCAGAAGTCCAGGCATTGGAGGTTTCCATGGTGACAAGGGAGATAATCGTGAAGAATATGAACCACCTGAAGAACGTCAAACGCATACAAGACCAAACACAGCAAGTTCCGCCCGAACAATAAGTAGTCGATCTTTTCCCGAAATTTCTCCAGAGGAAGCATTGAAATACTACAATGAAAGAGTGAGTGATCCTGACCAGGAATTGGATTTTGATGTGAGAGATGCTGATAGTATAGACTTTGAGGAGTCCCAGAGGACTGGAGATGATGACGAGATATTCAATATAACTAGTAGAATATCTGACGCTCCAAAGCCAGCCAAAAGGCGTGCCTATGGGACTGAGAGAGATACGCCGTCCATGCTGACACCTAGTTTTGGCAGTAGGTCAGGAAGTCGTCAGAGTCATGATGGAAGTCGCTCTAACACGCCGCATGACAAGAAAGGTCAGTTGTCAAGGAGACCACATTCTAGAGGAAGTGACAAATCATTTGATCATAATGATTCTTTCATGAGCAACCATTCAAATGGACAAAGAGGACAAACAAATCAGTTGCCTAGACGCCCAGGGTCACGTGAGGAGAGATCTTTTGACCACAACGATTCATTTCTAAGTACCCATTCTTATACATCCCGTACCAGTAGGGATGGTTCTTTAACACCTGTATCCACAGGAGTGTTCTCAGAGTCTCACCAAGAAGCTCGACCAGGGTCACTGACACCACGAAACACTAGCCAATCAGAAATTACAAGACCAGATTCTGTTGCCAGTCAGAGGTCAGCAGCATCTGAAATATTGTCAGCCAGGTCAAGGCAAAGGTCATCACATAATACTTCAAGGGAAGACAACTCATCACTTTCAAAAGCTAGATCACAGGAAAGCTTTTTCCAGGATTCTGAACTTCAGCCTGTTAGATCTGCAGATAAGTCAACGCCAGACAAAATGCCAAAACGTCTGCTACCAAAACCCAATTCTACTGAGGTTAGTCAGTCTTATCGGGTCAAAAGTAAAAGTACCACCAATATCGCTGCCAAACCTGGTCCCATTAAACCCAAACACATGTCTGTATCAGACCTGTCTCGTGTACAACTTGAAGAACATGAAAGCGAGGCCCAGAATTCTACCTCTGACAAATCGAAAAATGAGCTGTCATCAAAACTGAATCAGGAATTCCACAAGAGAAAACAAGCAACAGAGCTGGTTCAGCAACTTCAAAAAGACTATGATAAACTTCTGTCTAAGTATGCCAGTGCTGAACTCACTATTGACCAGTTACGCCTCGGGGCACGGGTTACGTTACATTCAAACTCACCGACCCCAAGTCAGGCCACCACAGGGTCAATGCAGTCATTGCAACAACCACAGGTCATGCAGATGAACCGTGGGGTCAAGTCGCCGTCACCCTTCCAGGGGTCATTGGGATATGCCAGTCCAATGTCTGTTGGTAAGTGCAAAACCATGATAATACTACAGTCATTACGTCATAGCATTATTCTGTTCAATTATTCTAACTTATACATATTAATCTTGTTGGCCTGGATGGCAGTGTGTGTGAGGTACTGTGGGAGGAAAAAGAAGTACCTGGGGATGACCTATATGGTTTGGCAGGTGACCCAATAGAGAATGCATTACTACTGTGTCACCTGACCACTTTGTGGTGGTCATGTTATATTATCACCAGTAAACCTTTTATTTCGATATATCTAAGTCTAGACATAGCAAAGGTGAAAGGGCAGACATTACCCTGGTGGGACTGCTTCCTGTAGTAGATGTTGCTGACTTCTTAAATAGTAACAAATTGCTCCATAATTTATCATCATACAAGATTGCCTTTCATTATGTTATGGTAGATAGTAATCGCATTATACAGGTAGGAAAAGCAGGTGTTAATCATTGTCATGAGGAAAATATATAGTCTTTTACTTCCCCATCTAGTGTCATGTCAAATATATGAAATATTTTTATCACATTTAACTAATTGATTGTTATATTAAGAAGAAAACAGGTAGATGTTACATATCATTGTAGATGATATCAAAGGTTCATATGTTACTGTACTTTAGAATGTCTTAGTTTTTTAAAGAATGCATTATGCATATGTCTATATCTAAGTGATGAAAAGGCAAGGACATCAAAAAATTTGAAATGCATATTTATGTCTGTTCAATATCTTCAGAAGGTTAGAGAATACCTGACTTACAATAAAGACATGATAATTACGAAAAATGGGGAAAATGCATTGAACAATTATTGTGTTTCGTGTGTGAACCCCAGGACACTATGAACTGTAATTTGTCACACATTAATCAAACTTTTATTTACGAATGTTTGCTACCAATTAAGTCTTTAGATGTAGAGTTAACCTGATTTCCTTATTCATGTTTAAATGGAATTAGTTTGCTAATTGATAAGTTTCGTTAATAGTATGTATATTAGCAATGTTCTTCACAACATTAAAATTGACTTTGGATATTCAACGTCCCAAACATATTCATACAAATTGTCTAGTGAATGGTTTGGTTGAGGATAAATTTGTCTGTGTGTGCCAAACTGCACTTTAGGTCATAAACATAAGATTGCCCTTATATCTGTAAATGGATTTATAGGCTAAAATTACAGGTAGGAATTACCTAAAACTGGTACATGTCTGGGCTCGTCAGCCTCACCTTGTCTCACCTGCCCACTGGTGTCCCAAGTCTTGTTAGTCCCAGTTTAAATACTGGATTTTATTTTATCATTCAATTAATGTATATATTACTACAATTTCAGAGGTGATTTGTGCATGTAAATACCTTATTAATTATTTTAACAAAAGTATGAAATTTTAAAGATGCTTTAAACATTTTTCGATATCATATTTAGAAAGTTAAGAACAACTGGACAGTTACACTGGGTCTAGCTTTTAGGTGTGACAGGTAAAAAGCTGTCCCAATTTCAACTGAATATATATCTTTGTTTGCTTTAAAATTCATTAACATATGTATGGTGTATTGATCTCTCCGGAATGTGCCGTCAATCTCTAGCTCGGCATTTAATGTGTTCGTCAATACTAAAACGGAAGAACATAACGTCAATGTAGGTACATGAATACTGCTTCATGGGTACTAAACAATCTAATATGCAATACCAGGCCAACAGGAAATTTCTAATATAGGGGTTGTACATCGATGTATACAGCTCTATATTTATTAAGTGCCCACTGTCAACAATCCCGTCCTACTTCCCCTGGGTACAAGATGCTGAAACCGAATTTTACATTAGTATTATCTGTTACCTTGAGAAATTAAATATATTTGATTTAAAATGTATTGCAACCTTTTCAATGTTTTACCGTAAAAAATCTCTTTAAGATGGTAACAGCGTGCAAACTTCACTCATTTCTCTGAACTTAATTGATTTTTCATTAATACTCTTTGGTTCAACTGATTTGTCAGGATATTTCAATCTCCTGTTATCATCTAAGTGATTCAAATCAATAACTCTTTGACTTGAGATACAAATTCTGTGGCAAATTCTTTTAGTCAATACACACTCTGTCTAAATTCTAGGCATTAGTTGATAAAAGTTCCACATAAACAACATTTGGACCTAAACATGAGCCAAACTCAATTACCATAAAAACACATCTAGATTTAACGTGTTATAAATGTGTTAATGAAGGTGTTCTCCTTTGAGAAATCTGTATTTTTAAACATGATTTGTAGAAAACGTTAAATAACTTTCACTGTGTCTTTTGAGAAGATAAGGATAACCTATTCAGTCATGCTATTTGAGTGGGCCTATGTGAAAGGTATTTGTCCGCCCTTGAATGGCCTCTTTATGAAATATTTATCAGTGGTTGGCATCTTAGATCGAACGCAATCGCTATATAACAACAATGGCACATATGGACATTATATGAAAGGTGTTTAAATGGTCGAGGTATTTCTGACGCTTGAATTGGACAAAAACACTTTGTTGGTGAAAACTTAAAACACAGATGGAAAAGTATGAAGGTTAAAAATCTCTTGGATGCAGTGTCCACATGCAAAACATTGTAATATCTTCAGCAGATCTATACGATATTTTGGAAGTTTCTCTTGAAGAAGGTATGTTATTGTTTCTGATGCTACGGTCATTAGATCTATTAAAGTCCCATATTAATCTGTTCTTTTCTAAATTGAATCTTTCATTTTTTTCATGTTTAATGAATCCGTCAGAAGTTCAGTACATATGTTGACCACATGTAGGTATTAACGGCCAAATATGGGCGAGGCCATAATCTGTAGGTCATCCCTGTGTCATACACAATAATCCTCTCAAATGTCTACTGGTCTACTCAAGGTCACCTATAAATAAATATTGGTCAGTATCAGGGGTGGGCAGTTTAGAATTACTAGATTAATCCAACTAAAGGTTTAATTACACAAATAAACATACCGGAATTAAAACTTGGACCCTGTGTATGATAAAATAAATTAAATAAACTCTCTCAGATGTATAAAAACTGATAGGATGGCCATCAAGCCTTCAATTTAACAAGTCTTTGTGGAATAAACTTTATAGTAAACTGCTATGATATCATTGAGTATTATGTCAACTGCACAATTCTGAGCCAAGGAATAACTACCTATCACCTTAGCAATGTGTCTCTAATACTTCCTTTGCTTATTATTGTAAATTTCTGATGAACGTCTACCCGTCATCTTAGCAATATATGTATCTAATTCTTCCTTTACCAATGCATTGGAAATTAGAAAAAAAATCTGATGAAACTCATTTTAACACAGGTAAACTTTAATTGATGCTGTGTATAATAATTAAGTTTAAAACAAAATATCTTTGTCACCTGTAGCAAGACGAACTTTTCCTGGTCTAGGTGAGTTGTGGTGGGCTGTGATTGATGGTATTGAAGGGTGTTATGATGTGTTGGTGAAATTTTTAAAACTATGATGTAATTTGTACCTAACCTTTGTTGTGTTTCTAGCAATGTTAATTTTACATCTTCATCATTGTAAACAAACAATTTCTAGATGTTAATCAGCTGATTTAGTAAATTCAGAGAGAGAGACTTGTCATTTCCAAAGTTCTTGTAGAAAACATACATTAGTACATGTTGCCTTCATCTGAAGGAGAAAGATGTGAGACTAAATCAGTTTTATCAGGAACATTCCTAAGGGATATTGAGAAGCATGGCCAATTAGCTGTCTTCAAACTACAACCTGAAAGCCATTTCCAAAGCAGTTTATCTCAATATTGTAATTAGGAGCTGTATATAATACTATCTTCAAACCAGTAAATAAAAACAATTTAAAATTATGTAATAAACAAAGAAGGCGTCTGAAAATTCCGGGACAAATAAGTTAAGTGATTCCCTGAAGATCTGTAAATACAGCATTAAACATCTAGAACTTTGTTTATTTTCTTATCTTCTTTGCGATTTAACAGAACTTATTATCACAACAAATATGTTGCAGGGCAAACATGTGATAATCTGGAAAGTTTTAATTCTAAGTCATGATCCTCTCTTAAAAGTCATAAGAAACAAAGGCTTGTTGTAGAGCATATATTTACTATAAAACAGATTGTGATGTTCAGAAATTGTTTAGACGTATAAAGTATGAAGTAAGCAAACACGTATTATAGTAAAAACATTTTAAGTCGTGGAGCCAGTCTTTGTCACAAAGCATAAACCTTAGAAGGAGTGGCTAAATGTCTTTCTCATGTTTACATCTCTCATATGATACATCATTGGCTTTCTATTTAAAAAGGAAACAAAGTCCTGATGATGATAATGATGTGGATTGGCAGAAGTTGATCTGACTCATTAACTTTGCTTTTGTTTATGTTTCATTAATGACTTGCTTTTATTTTTGGAAAAAGAAAAGAGTGGTTTATAAGTACAACTTTGAGTGCTTAAGAGGGTAATATGACTTCATTTTTAATCTCTTCAATAAAAAAAAATCCATCGTATAAAGTTTCCAAATCCATATATATATATATATATATATATATACACAAGTACCTTAAGGCAAGTGTAGAAATAAAAACTCCGTAATCTTTACTGTATTTCTGAATTAGGTATATATTAGGTATACAAATGATACTCATGTTACAGGAATACTTTTAATCACATGACCTCGGTCTTTTATGGTCAGTCATGTCTTTAAATTCAATCGTAGAAACCGGATACACTTATAATTGGCATTATTACAAGCCAAAATGAGTTATCGTTTGGACTTCGTGATCTGTTTAAAAATGACGTTTTGATTTTAGTAAAGGTAAAGAAGTAAGTGATTATAATATTCTAACAATATTTAATCGGTACTGTGTTTTAATCAGCTGGAGATTAATGGCTGTATCGGGATTAAATAGCTGTATAAGTACATAACTGTTATGTACCAAACCCAAGTCTAAAATCCCATGGGGAAGTGAAATAAATTCTTCTGTAGATCAAGGAACTTTTCCTTATTTATCAATTATGTATGTGTAGTAGTTTGAAATCAATATTGGAATTACTAGGTAATATCATTTTAAACTTATACTAGTCACTCTTGTTGGCCCAGATGGAAACATGTGAGGGGTCTTACTGTGGGAGGAAACTGGGGTACTGTGGGAAAACCCATGTGGTTGGGCAGTTGAACTCTTACCTTTTCATGTCTGTCCTCGGGCATCAAACCCAGAACGGCTAAGTAAAAAGCAAGTGTGTTATCACTGTGCCACCAGATTATCCAATTGACTGTATATGTTATTATTTGTTTGTCGTGTAATTTCGTTAAAATCTAGTATTGTTATAGTCTCCTTCATTTATGTAATAGTATGTGATAGTCATGGTGGTAAATTTCAGGTGTTTAATAATAATATCTCTCAGCTGTTGTGATCGTGGCAAAGTTCAGGTGTTTAATAATGATGTCTCTCAGCTGTTGTGATAGTGGCAAAGTTCAGGTGTTTAATAATGATGTTTCTCACCTGTTGTGATAGTGGTCAATTTCAGGTGTTTGATAATGTCTCTCAGCTGTTGTGATAGTGGTAAAGTTCAGGTGTTTAATAATGATGTCTCTCACCTGTTGTAATAGTGGCAAAGTTCAGGTGTTTAATAATTATGTTTCTCACCTGTTGTGATAGTGGTCAATTTCAGGTGTTTGATAATGTCTCTCAGCTGTTGTGATAGTGGCAAAGTTCATGTGTTTAATAATGATGTCTCTCAGCTGTTGTGATAGTGGTCAATTTCAGGTGTTTGATAATGTCTCTCAGCTGTTGTGATAGTGGCAAAGTTCATGTGTTTAATAATGATGTCTCTCAGCTGTTGTGATAGCGGTCAATTTCAGGTGTTTGATAATGTCTCTCAGCTGTTGTGATAGTGGCAAAGTTCATGTGTTTAATAATGATGTCTCTCAGCTGTTGTGATAGCGGTCAATTTCAGGTGTTTGATAATGTCTCTCAGCTGTTGTGATAGTGGCAAAGTTCATGTGTTTAATAGTGATGTCTCTCAGCTGTTGTGATAGTGGCAAAGTTCATGTGTTTAATAATGATGTCTCTCAGCTGTTGTGATAGTGGTCAATTTCAGGTGTTTGATAATGTCTCTCAGCTGTTGTGATAGTGGCAAAGTTCATGTGTTTAATAATGAAGTCTCTCAGCTGTTGTGATAGTGGCAAAGTTCAGGTGTTTAATAATGATGTCTCTCAGCTGTTGTGATAGTGGCAAAGTTCAGGTGTTTAATAATGATATTTCTGTGACAAGTGGAAGTATGTAATCCATTGTGGGAAATTTTATCATAAGTGATGTCTTGTTCAATTTGGTTATCATATAGCAAAATTTTCATGGAATGCAGAAATAATCATTGGTATTTTAGCAATTCCATTGGTCTAGAAAACATGTATACTACTTTACAGACAAACAAATTTCATGCCGACTTATATTTTTATAAAAGATAAAGAAATCCAGTAAAGCTGGCATGAAATCTAGCATATCCCATACAGGTAATGGGAGAGTGTAAAAACACTCTGGAAATACCTGACATATTTGTGTTGATCTTTACATACCATATGCAGCAGGTCACCAAAGTACAAGCAATGTTTTTATCTGAAAACGGAATTGAAAATTTGATATCAGTTGGAACTGATCCAATTTAGTTAGATTTTTGTCTAATTATTTTCCTTTGTAAAGTGAAAGTAAGGAAGGCAAAGTGAATGAAGTATAACTGCTTGTTTTTGTGAGAATGAAGCATAACTGCTTGTTTTTGTGAGAATGAAGTATAACTGCTTGTTTTTGTGAGAATGAAATTGTTTTTGTGAGAAAGAAGTATAACTGTTTGTTTTTGTGAGAATGAAGTATAACTGCTTGTTTTTGTGAGAATGAAGTATAACTGATTGTTTTTGTGAGAATGAAGTATAACTGATTGTTTTTGTGAGAATGAAGTATAACTGATTGTTTTTGTGAGAATGAAGTATAACTGCTTGTTTTTGTGAGAATGAAGTATAACTGCTTGTTTTTGTGAGAATGAAGTATAACTGATTGTTTTTGTGAGAATGAAGTATAACTGCTTGTTTTTGTGAGAATGAAGTATAACTGATTGTTTTTGTGAGAATGAAGTATAACTGATTGTTTTTGTGAGAATGAAGTATAACTTTTTGATATAAATTTTTTAGGTAGATTATAATATATGTGAACTTGTAGAAAGATTCCTGAATGTGACCGACTTACTGTACACATCTACGACTCAATCAGATGTACAATATTTGTGTTTAATAAAGAGAAATAGTGTTTGTGGAAAACACATGATCAATATCAACACCAATTTCAGGCATAATGAACAAGGCTTAGGAATATTTACCAGTATTACTGTGTTTATAAGTCACTGACTGACTAGATAAAATGAGATACCAATGGAGGATAATACAGCGGGCAATATTTATCTTATATCTTGTAAACAGGCATTTAATAATCTTATATTTATATTGTACATTGCTAAATAAATTGACATGGACTGTAGACCTACATCAATATGGTGAAAATCCGCTTTTGATTTCAGACAGTACCGCTGCTGACTCTTACAATGACCAGGGCCAAGGCTCAAAGAACAAGTTCAGGTCTCAGTCCGAGTCTGCACTCACTAACGGTAACGCTGAGAGGGAGGCACGGAACATGGCGCTATCGTCGGAAAATGGAGCGGAAAGTGTCAAGCTCGGCCTCATCTTTCAGGCCAATGGCCTTGATGACAGGGTAGGTGCATGTAGAATTGACAATATCAGGGAACAAATATGTTTGGTTTGCGGGGTCCATAGTTCAGTAAGTAGCCAAGGTAGTTTCGAACTAGGGTCTCCTTGTGATATCTTGTGGATACCTCACTGAACATCATGTGGGAGGCTTACCACATAACATCCAGATTAATTGGTGATATGTCCTGCCCAAGGCACAGAACAATCCATGAGTTTCCTTGGAAGGGCTTAAACCACATTGGGTTGCATTAAACCCGATAATGGGCTGAACTATTACTATAAATGTATGTAGTTGTTTTAGTGGCTATCTTATAGTAGTGATTTTCATACTAAAATTATTATATATTGTTTAGATAAAACAATATTACTTATGTATGAATTCATCATTGTACAAATTAATTGATACGAACATTATCATTGGACAAATTCATCCTTGTATGAATTCATTCTTGTGTGGATTCTTCATTGAAGGAATTCATTGTTGCATGAATTCATCATTATGAAAATATATCCTTGCATGAATTCAGAATTGTCCAAATTCAGCATTGCAGAAGTTCATTTATGCACTTATTCAAAAAGTGATAATACACCAAAATTGTATTTCACTAAATCGGGTATGTTTACAGTACGTTCCCTGAGTGTTTATGTGGTTCTGTTGTAGATGAAACAATATATGCAATCATGGCTTTGACATTTAGTTCTGTTCTTCATGTTGATGAGTTTATTTCCTGTTTGAGTTGGTCATTATAACTTACAAGCACACTGATACAGATCAGCTGATTAGCCCAGATATCCACATAGGTAGTACAAAGTGTACCGTTTTAGCAATCATACCTGTTAGTCCATACTTGGCAATAGGCCTACCAGATCCATCACTATTCTGTATGTTTACCATCAAATGTTGTTTCATGCTCCTGTAATAAGCCCATCCCCTGACTTTGATCCGGGGGTGTTGTGTTGGTCCTCTCAGCTTGAATCAGGACTAATCTTCAATTATCGATACACATTGTACATAGACCCACTCTTTACCTTTGCCTTATAAAAGCATGCTTTTTTTGTGGGGATAAATTCATTCAGCATGGTATAAGGATAAAGGCTTTCAGTAATATTAACATTTGTATTTATTTCCTTATCTGCTTCTATTGAAAATGGTTAAGACATTATAAACAGATTTAATTGAAATTGAATGAAGTTGACTGAATATATTCTCATTTTGATATCAGAAGATGTGGGCATCACATTGATAGAAGTTGACACTGTTCATAAGGTTAAGTCTGTAAATATACACATTGAACTATGTTGTCGTGCTTGTGAATTGATATTTTATATAAATGTCATTTAAGCAGATACAGAGAAATGTAAAGAACAGATCAGGTATATTAGGTTTTGGTTTGGACATTTACACTTGTGTTTGTTAATGTATTATGATATTATAGTGTTGATAATCTAAAATCTTTAACAATTCTGCCAGTTAGTAAGATGATAAAAACAAAATATTATTTTTGGGAGGAAAACTGGAAAACATGAAAATGTTCACCTTCCTTAAGGATCAATCGATGTACAGAGGTCAGTCTCAAGGTCAGTCATCTCCATTTCTAGTATTTCTAGATACTGGGATAATCAAAGACCTTTCACAGGTCAGCCTCCAGGTCAGTCGTCTTTATTTTTAATATATCTGGCTACTTGTACAATTTTATATAAGATTAACTGTAGATCAGTAATTGTGCCATGAGCCAGTCTGACTTATGATGAATCAGACTAAAGAAAGTAAAAGAGAATTGTAGATTTTACAATGTTTTCCTTCATTTCATTGTCAGATGGAATCCTTCAAAACTTTGTTGGATGAACAGCAATTGACACATGATGAACAGGAAAAAGTGTTTGAAAAAATTCGGACAGACCATGAAAAATTGCGCAGGGACTATCTTCAATCAAAAGAGGATTACAATGTGTTAAAACGTGCCAATGCCAATGTTGGAGACGTGAATTTTGATCAAGAAAAGGAACTGGAAGGAGAATTATTTCGATTGGGAATGAAATTTGATGAAATTCATGAAAAAGTGGACGAGAATAGACAAAAGAAATCTTCAGAACGACAGCCATTCCAGAGTAATCGTACACAAGCAAACGGTGATGTTTCATTGGATAGTAGTGATGTCGAAGGTCGTGCCATAGATCACACTAAAAAGAAAATCACCAGTGCCATGGCTGGTGATGATCTAGTCAAGCCTCACAAGGAACAAGAGTTTCAGGACTCCGTCAATCGCCTGCATGTGGAGTATAACAACTTGATGGATAGGTACCGTCGACTGAAACAGATGGCACAAACACCCGAACGAGACAAGGAAATTGATAATTTAGTCAAGGTAAGTAAATTATTTACTAATTGATATTTAAACGGTAGGACCTCTGTGTTTTAACGATCCTGTAGTATTTAGTTGTAAAACCCTGACAGTGTGTTTCCAGTGAATAAGAATATGACTGGTCTGTCTCCATAGTTTTATTTGGGTGGGTGGGTGGGGGGGGGGGGGGGAAGGGGGAGGTGTCAGGAGTGGGGTGGAATGGGCTACATATATAGTGTGTTTGTTTGTCCGGTTCCTTCCCATCTTGCCCGTCACTACTCTTCTGAAAAAAAACTATAATATCTTGATAACCTTTCAACTGATTTGGTTCATTTCATACTTACCCTGTAGTATCAAGTTCATCAGGCAAGGTTAAAGGTCAAAGGTTATATATGACAATTTTGGCAAGTTCATGAAACAATGATTCTTACATACATGAGAACGTGGGAATCCATTCTTTTTTTTTCTCTTTTTAGTTTATTATCTTTAGTAATTTTTATTTTATTTCCTTTTTAGGCCAAATGTAATGCAGTTATTTTTTTCTTTAAAGTTGTTATTTATGATTATAAACTGATATAAAGGATATGGTTTACCTGTAGTAAAGGTACTTATGTATATCATTATACACCTATCATTAATTAAAGGTAGGCCTCCCACCTTGCTAAGTACTGGACAGGAATTTGATGGCCTGACTTAAGAAATAGGGCAAAGTTTTAAGGATTTGAAATTTTACGGATACCAGAACAAAGCATAAAAAACTGTAAATTTAAAAATAGGGGCACCTGATTCACCAGTGGTAATGAACACCTGTCTCTGATGACAGGTGAACAACAGGTAACATGCCCCCATATAGGTAGCTAAGGATTGGTGGAAGTTAAAGAATAAAAAACAGATATTGATTTTGACCGAACATGAAATCCTTCAACCAAATAAACTTTTGTCTCATAGAACCTAATGACACGAGATCATGGGATCCAGGTCCCTGATATGTTTGGGTGACATATGTAGTGGGGTAGTGCTGACATGACAGAAAACAGTTAGGATAAACAGTGATGTTGAGCTGTCAAAAAATCTTAATCTGGCTCTCATCCAACTACAGGTGTATATATATGTATTAGTAAACCCAGTCTAACTGCCAGTTTCTAGTATAGTCAGGTCAAGTATAAAGTAATAGAATGTTTCTTTCAAACTTGGCATAATACATTGTGTCCTTTAGGCTTTCACATTTCATTAAATCCTTTGAAAGGAATGGTTCTGAGTTATCCCCCTCTACGTGAAAATTTTTTCTCCTCTTGTGCCTGTCAATTTTCTTGTCTTTTTTCAATTTTAAAATGAAGCAATTAATTCTTGACCATTTGCACTACATCCAGTGTTACAATAAATCTACAGTTTGCCACTTAATGATCATGTCAAGAATTTCTTGTCTTTAGTCACATTACTATGATATCCAAACATTTTTTCAGAAATTTATGGTGATGTAATGGTTAGGTAGTAGTACTATTTCTTGGCTAGTCCATTTGTAGATCCTGGGATCATGGCCTGGACAGAGCACTAGTCTAAAAAGGGTTTTGCCTTTGTGAATTGTAATACAAATGTCCTGATTTAGTGCAGTAGATCATGAGTACATGGCCCAGAGAAGGCACGACTTAAAAATGGTTTTCCTTCATCAGTTATGTTTGATAGAGTCCAAGTTTGATGCCATTCATCATGAGTTCAGATTTGCATTACCTGTTGTTATTACACTGAGTCTTGGCATATGTCAACAATTTTTGTGACCGCATGGCCTTGCTGAAACGCTATTACTGTGTGTTAGGTATTTATTCATTGAACAGAATCACATCACAAAGCACAGAATGCCATTTAGCTCGAACTTTTTACTATAGCATAGCAGTTTTAGAGTTTAGACGGTGAAGGTAACTTACAATGGTCTTGGCATTTTTTCAAACATTTAATGTGTAAGTGTTTACATATAATTTTAATGGAGGACCACTGTGCTAAGACGATTTACAATGATAAGCTTTATAGATTATAGGTCTATAAGTTCACAACATGTACACAGTTTTATACCCATCTGGTTATGGTGAAGTACATAAGATAGATATAGGGGAAGACAGGGGTCAGCTGTTCTACAATGATAGATATAGGGGTAGAAAGGGGTCAGCTGTTCTACAGTTATAGATATAGGGGTAGACAGGGGTCAGCTGTTCTACAGTAATAGATATAGGGGTAGACAGGGGTCAGCTGTTCTACAATGATAGATATAGGGGTAGACATGGTCAGCTGTTCTACAGTAATAGATATAGGGGTAGACAGATATAGGGGTAGACCTGGTCAGCTGTTCTACAGTCAGATATAGATATAGGGTGGGGGTCAGGGTTCTACAGGGGGTGGGGGAGCTGACAGGGTCAGCTGTTCAGTTTCTACAGTTATAGATATAGGGTGGGGGGGGGGGGGGTAGACAGGGTCAGACAGGGTGGGGGAGGGTAGACAGCTGTTCTACAGTTATAGATATAGGGTGGGGGAGGGTTAGACAGGGTCAGCTGTTCTACAGTTATAGATATAGGGTGGGAGAGGGTAGACAGGGTCAGCTGTTCTACAGTTATAGATATAGGGTGGGGGAGGGTAGACAGGGTCAGCTGTTCTACAGTTATAGATATAGGGTGGGGGAGGGTAGACAGGGTCAGCTGTTCTACAGTTATAGATATAGGGTGGGGGAGGGTAGACAGGGTCAGCTGTTCTACAATGATAGGTAATGGGGGTAGACAGGGTCAGCTGTTCTACAATGATAGGTATAGGGTTAGACAGGGTCAGCTGTTCTACAATGATAGGTAATGGGGGGTAGACAGGATCAGCTGTTCTACATTGGATATTAAACGTGACTGGAGAATGGAAACCTTTTTGAGTTTTGCTGACCGATTATTTTACACCGCCAGGAATATAGAATTTTAAACCTTAGGATACCACTTCTCCTAGAATGTCACTTGTTAAGTCTAATGCCAAGATAAAGACAACCCAAATCAATAAGTTAAATCAAAATGACAACAAATGTCAAATGTCCTGTCTAGCTTCTTGTCAGGGAGAGTTTCATACAGAGAAATGGTCTCGTGGGACAGTTTGTTGTGCTATATAGGAGAAGTTTTATAATATTCTTATTAATAAAGAGAAAAAAACACTAGTGAGATACAGAGTTTGATGTAATTTCACTAATTTCTATTTGTTCTGACAAATTGATGTTTATAAACAACATCATATTTACAATTTAGATATGGTTAGGGTAGGGGTATAAAAGGGTACAGGTATAAAGAAAAATATGGAATCAAACTGTTCAGATACACAGGGTTGTTAACAAAATGGCTAGGAACATGTTTTAGATGTATTTATAATAGAAGGCAGAAGATTTTAGACAAGTTCTGGATCTTTAACAGACCATAACCTACACTGATCATTCTTTTACTACTGGTACAGATGTTTATCTATTGGCATTAATTACCACAAACAAATAAACAACAGATCTGTTAAGGTAAACTTTAATTCAAACAAACAAATAAATGATGTTCTACAACTTTAATTGAAGACAATAGTGTATAGTACCAGACCGAGCTAACACTATGAGACAGCTTCAATGTTTACTGTTTTCCCACACTTTACCTATAGTTATAAACAAACAACAAATGATACTGTGTTAAGTATCGGTTTATCAGACCTTTGTGTGAATTAAATCCCTGTTTGCTTCACATTTTTGATAGACTTACTGTATTGTTTTTTTTTGTTTTTTGTGTTGATGATTTTTAAATTCCTGTGAACTATTGACTACATCTTACTGAAGAAAAACTTTCTGAACTGAGAGTCTGTATTTAATGGCCCTGCCCACCCCTTGTCCTCCACTAGAAAACCCACCATCCTTAAGGCACATACACACCCTTAACATAAGATTCTCTGTCTCCAGCACATGCTTTTATTTTCTTGTTGTAGAATCTTAAATGTTTTCTGAAAAACATGTATAAAATATATTTGTACAAAGTGATGAATTATAAAGTACAAAAAACATTGTCTGAGAATTGGTTGAGATTTGAGAATGGAGATTTGAGAATGATGTCAAAAAATTGCAAGCTTATACTTGTCACATGATATGAAAATCAGTATTGCTATCGTACATGTCAGATTGTATTTTATCACATTAAGCACAATATTCGTACATTTATCTTCTGTTAATTCTACAATTATTAATGTTTTTCTTTCATTCTCCAGAAACTGAAACACATCTGTAATTCAGAGCCAGAAATATTCAAGATGCCTAAAGAATTGCAAGAAAGGTAATTTAACTGTTATTTAATTGATTCAGAAATGTTATTAATGATTAGTATTAAGTTTCATGATATCATTACATTGTATTGGTCTCCTATAGGATATCCTGGATTGTTTTTACCTGTAGATATACATACAGGTATCGTATTACTCATTTGTCAGCAGTTATTACCCAGGTATTTTTATCTTTCTTTCAGTACATTTTATGATAGATTGCTTTGTAAAACAAAAGATAATATTGTGTCGAAGGTCCCACGGTAATTGTCAGAAATGAGGACAGAATGAAAAGGACCAGAAACAACGACATAATAAAAAACATAACTAGTAATCAATATTAATTATAGCCAGACTGTTACGGTAATAACACGGGAAATTTGTACTATTGATTTCCCGTAATTGCAGTCAAGGCCTAGAAATCTCGTTTGCCTCTGATGTTAGCCAAACAGGTAGTGATTTAGACGATGAACCGGCCAGGTAAATCATTGTCCAATGTATCACTGGTTTGCACAGTACTGGTTGTCTCCCCTTGCTGGTTGTCTCCCCTTCCTGATGCACGGTTATTGTTTTGTCTTGTGACAGCAGATTGATAGCTATGCAGCCTCACTTTCTAGTCACCAGCTTGAAAGGGAGGTTACATAGCTATGGAAAACAATTGGTGGTAGAAAAAAATCATACCAAGTGAAAGTTGGATCCTGGAGAGGTTATATATAATGACACACCTTAATACTCATATCATCCCCATTCACACTGTTCCTTGATTTTCTCACAAATTTACCTTGCATCTAGGAATTAATATTTAACAATAGGTTGGATTGATATTGATACACACATTCAGATATTCCAAAAGTATACTCAGTTTTCTAAGACTTGTTATCAAATACTTATGAATTGGATAAGTGAAGTGCTTATCAGATTGGACTGAAAAAGAATGTTAATTTAATACAGGTTGGAATTCATTTTTCTTTTGTATTAAAATAATGTTTAGTTTAGTGTGATGAACATGATGTTTAATGTTTTATTTGATTTCACCCCACAAGTTCATACAGAAGGAAGAAGTAAGCTGTTTTAATGTGTCTATTACCTTTTAGTATAGATTCCTGATCTGTTCGCATTAGTCCAATTTCTTTAGTCTTTTACACCCTCTCTATCATTAGCTTTTGTTATTTTAAAAATTTTCCTAAGTAATTGCACTATTTTTGCATGTTTAAGTTAATATTAAACAGTAAAATTATAACTAGATATTCAGAAAAGTTTTATGCAAATTTCTTATTATAATTTGTGAAATGTAGGACTCAATTAAAAAAGTGAAAATAATATGTAGACAGAGAATTAATTAAGTATCAAGCATTTGGAACCCTTCACATTTCCTGTTGTGATATTGTCACTCTGTTGTTCTGCACATGAGTATTTGCTAGAAATTATTTTTCTGCTCACCATCTGTGGCATGATATCCATCGTCAATCCATCCATCAATTTTGTGCCCTTCTTTCAAAATGTCTTTAAAAATAGTAAGGAGCAAAGTTAGGTAGAAGGGAACCATTTCAAAAGAGAGAGGGTTTGCAAAATACAGGAAGAATGGTTAAGTGTTCGAGTTATCCTTGGGACTTGGGAATATCATATAACGAAATGAAGCTTTTTTTCTGCAACTGATAAACAGGACCTTATATGGAGAAGTATTTCTAATAATGCTGTTCAAAAAGTCATTTATTGAATTGTCAAGGTGAGCAATACAGGTCCATTGGGCCTCTTGTGAGTGTCTATGTTCTTGTTGAAGCACACATCAAAACAATATTTTTTCTTTTCCAAATGTGTGTCCATCCCAAAAAAAAAAAAAAAGAAATAAGAAAGATTGAAATAATGAGTAGTATATACCTTTTTCATGTACTATGTGAAGAATTTTCAGCATTTGTATAAGCTATTTCTGATAGAATCCGATCACCAATAGTTACAATGATGCTGGTGATCAGGCCTGTACTGCATATCCAGTCTCTGACTGAATGATATCTTTCTGTAGAGTTTAGAGTGATAGGTTACAGTTCTGTAAGAGTAGCTCTCCTATCATAGATATCGTGACATTTCTAGGGTGAACTAAGAAATATTTTATGCGACAGGTTTGTTATCAGATGTCAGTATAACTAATTGTTCTGATCAATATTCCATATCATTATATCCTTGCAATAAAATGGCAAGGGTCATTATCCCATCATTTTATCATTATTTTGGTTTCTGTTAATTTACTCTTTGACAAATTGAGACATTGAACTGAAGTTTGGTATATATTATGTAGCTGTATCATGTTTTGCTGGTCACATTCATTTTTGGTTACAGTTAACATATTTTATGACCCTTAATTTAACTTTCAAAATTCAAGAAATGATAAGATTTTGTTCATCTTCTCACTGCTCATTGAGGGTGTTAAGCTGACATTTGATGTGTTTTGGTATTGTTAGTACCAAATTGGCTATCAATTAATTGTAGATGTCCAAAACCTGATAGTCTAAAAATTTCTTCTTAAAAAGCCAATTATACTAAAAAGCTCCATACTTCTGATTCATATCTGATGAGCCAGTGTTAATGTTGCATCAACACTTTATAGTTAAATGTTGCGAAAGTTAATGAATTGAATGGTTTTGTTTTTAGGGAGATTTGAAATTAAAAATACAAAAGTTTACTATGGTAATAAAGTTGGACTCTTTTGAAAACAGATATCAATGGTCACATAATTTTTCAGAGAAGTACTAAATATGTTTTGATATACATGTATACAGGAACTGCTGTATGTTACTGATATATTGTACATGATAATTATGATGATATTCTAATTGAATCTGTGAAATTGTGGCATAATTATATCAATTTCTAGTTAAGACATTTTTAGTGATGAATAAATGATCTTCCAAGTTGATTCAGTTCTCTCCAGAATTTACAATATTGTGTATATATCTTAGGAGATGACATAGCTTTATATACAAACACATTTAACACTAACTGTGAACTCTAACAACAGGTGGGAACAACTGCAGGAGCGAGATGAGGATGGAAGGCGAATGTCAGTTGCCTCCCCTGTCATGGGGCGACGCCCAAGTCAACAGGTGCAACAACGTGAACAGATGGCTAGTGTCCAGAACCAATCATTTTCCAGGGTAGGTGTTACTTAGATCAGATCATTTAAACCAGGATAGGTATGAGATCAGATCATTTACCAGGGTAGGTATTCAGATCAGATCAGAGGTATGAAAGTCAGATGTTTAGATTAATATTTATGTCTTTTATTATCAGGGTAAAATATCTAATTAATTCCTTACAAATGTAGGTATGTGATCAGATCATTTATCTGGGTACACTGGTATGTATTGATGGACATCATATTGTAGGGTTTACACAGGTCACATGTTTGTAGCTAGCTGTTTTGTATCTCTGAGTTATTATTCTTTATGGTGATTTATCTGGGTAGGTATGTGATCATTTACCAGGGTAGGTATGAGATCAGATCATTTATCTGGGTAGGTATGAGATCAGATCATTTACCAGGGTAGGTATGAGATCAGATCATTTACCAGGTTAGGTATGAGATCAGATCATTTACCAGGGTAGGTATGAGATCAGATCATTTATCTGGGTAGGTATGTGATCAGGGTAGGTATGAGATCAGATCATTTACCAGGTTAGGTATGAGATCAGATCATTTACCAGGGTAGGTATTCAGACAGTAGAAAGTCAGATGTTATCAGATTTAGATTAATATTTATGTCTTTTATTATCAGCCGGTAAAATATCTAATTAATTCCTTACAAATGTAGGATAATTTTGACAGCTAGTTCCACAAAAGATTTATTTGTAAATATTTGAATTCTAAAAGTGACACAAAAGCTTAATTGTTATCTAATACAATTGAAGGACAGATAACATATTCACTTAATATTTAAGATAAAATTATCACACATTTCATCACAAAATGTTTGTAGCTAGCTGTTTTGTATCTCTGAGTTATTATTCTTTATGGTGATGGAAATATATCTGGCTTTAACTTTTTTTCTGGGGAATGTGTATTACAATGGTTCTTATACTGAAGATTTTCTGTCGCTAGGGAAGAGACACACCAACCAATTCCCACAACTGGTCGATGGACAGGTCGTACTCAGAGTATAATGGAGGTAAGTACCATGTTTACTTTGATTTGTTTAAGTCTTCAAAGAAACACAAGTAAGTTTTTACTTAATGTCTAATAATAAGTTGAGAGCAATAGTTATGACTGTGTGTCTATTGATATGTGTAATCCCTCCCCAGACACACCTCGTGGCCTACCCCAGGACAACAGTTTACGCCAGTCTAGCAGCGTCAGCAGCAGTCGAAGCAGCCTATCCTCACGAGGGACTCCTAGAGATCCAGACAGGAACTCCCCCAACCCCAGGCTCCCTCGACCTCGAAGGCATGACCACCCCGACAGGAAACATGGACTCAAGAAGGTGAATTATCCCTAAACACTGAAAACTGCAAAGCTGCTAATTTTGACAGCTAGTTCCACAAAAGATTTATTTGTAAATATTTGAATTCTAAAAGTGACAACAAAAACTTAATTGTTATCTAAATACAATTTCCTCCAGAAGGAACTCTAGATAACTTAACAAAACTATTCACTTAATATTTAAGATAAAATTATCATTACACATTTCATCACAAAATTTTAAGCTTGTCGTATGCAGTACTGAAAACATGATCCATATCATATGTTTTTAGTTCATGAAAAGATGGCAGTGGCAGGTTTGTTGCTTGTTATAGATTTTTGTTTTCTTCACAACCTCCATCTTTTATCACTTACTTAATATTTAACAGCAACACATACAATGTCGTGTCTGTTGTTTGTCCTACACATGTCAGGAAAAATGTTAGTTAGACTCACTTGGATGTTGAAAGTTATTTGTCAAGGTTAATTTGATAGGTTATAAAAAGTCCCTTTAGTCCTGTAAAACATCTGATAGATTTGATTAAGATTTAATGTCTCTTGCACTTGTGATGGTGGTATTTGGTCCTCACTACTTTTCCTCTGAGCATGTAAAAATTAAAAAAATTAAAAATGTATCCTTTTGAGGTACTCACAAGTCGTTCCTAACAGATCTGGTTAGACATGTATCCTACTGAGATACCTCACAAGCTGTTCCTAACAGATCTGGTTAGACATGTATCCTACTGAGATACCTCACAAGCTGTTCCTAACAGATCTGTCTGGTTAGACATGTATCCTACTGAGATACCTCACAAGCTGTTCCTAACAGATCTGGTTAGACATGTATCCTACTGAGATACCGCACAAGCCATTCCTAACAGATCTGGGTTTACATCTTTAATTAAATGAGAAATCTATAAATGTAAAACTTTTTTGAGAAATCTTGAATTTTTTACTGAAAGAGTTGCATACAGGGGTGTACATCTCAAAGATGCCTAGAGCTTTTGCTTGTATACATCGTATAGTAATTTTTTGTTCTTCTGTTTTAAATGATTTGGAAATATTTTTCTGGTGTAATTAATTGTGATTTTGTAGTGAAGTCTTGATGGTCTTATCTCCTGTAGAGACAAGATGGAGGTAGCCTCAGTAGTCTTGGTGACAGTGGTATATCTGAACACGACAACACTAACGGAGGCGGGGCCACAGCGGGCAATCTCTCCAGCCTTCCAGGGCCAGGAAAGTTCAAACAAATGACAAAACAGAGAAATGCTCCTGATGCAGACAGTGGGTTTATAGGTTCAATGGTAGGGTCAGAGGTCAGTCAGATGTCGTCACGGCAACAGCAACTGCAGCATCAAGACCAAGCTCAACCCTCATTACGGTTACGACATCCAGCAGATAATGAAGAAAGGTGGGACTTCATAGATTCACGTATCATAGATTTTACTGATTATATCATTTCTTTAATGTTAAATTCCTATGTTAATAACACCTTTTTATACTTTAATTATAATTTTAAGATGTGATAATCATATAATTTTCTACTGATTATTGTCTCCCCTTTATTTGTGAAGAGATTCTGATTTAAAATCCTAATTAGATTAGAATGTCCTATTACACATCTATAAAGATTTACTGTCTTCTACATATGTGAATTTTTTTAAGTTAAAATGATTGTAATACATTTGTGTATAATTATTGTAATTACATGGCAATTATGAACAACACACTGTTGTTAAGTCACTAAGTTGGTTAAAGCAGGGGTATACTGCCTGTCTCAGAAATCTAACAACTTGAAAGGCTAGGCTCTACCTGTTCCGCTGAAACCTAAGGTATCATCGTTTATATATTTATTATTTACAGACCTAGGTCCAGATCACGTGACGTAGAGACAGCTTCCATTGCAAGTTCAAGGTCAGCTAGGTCTGGGAGAACAAGGCATGATGATCGACCCTCATCTCGAGGGTCACTGAGGTCAGGGAGTCGACGTGACATGACCACAGATATGAGTAGGGACTTCACCGATGATAGTTACACCCTGACAGAAAGTGATGTGAGTTTTGACTCCTCTCACCACTCTCGTCGTAGTCGACAACGACCTCGCAGTATGGTAGAAGCCTCTATACAGGAGGAAGAGGAAGGTGAGAGTTTGTCAGGTTATACTTGTACAATGATAGTGTATGTAACTATAGATCATAAAGCTGTATGGCAGCGCTCGTCTTCACTATATGATATACTTGGTTAGAGTCTCTTTACTAAGTTGAGGTGAGAGAAAATTGTTTATTTGGTGACATAGCTGGTTAGCTGTGATAAGTTATAGTAAGTTTAGTAATACAGTTACAGGTGGGCAACTCAGATCAGTTTTAATACATTTGCTACTGGTAGTAAAACATAACAAGACATCCTCCATATTAATGATTATCATGGTTGTGAAGTCGTCAAGTGATGCCTACACAGTCGGCTGACTTAGCTTTATACTCGGTATGTCTGTCAATGTATCAACTTGTATAGGGAAATCTTTATCATTGTAAAGTTTGTCACTGGGCTCAGTATGTCTGTCAATGTATAAGGGAGATCTTTATCATTGTAAAGTTTGTCACTGGGCTCAGTATGTCTGTCAATGTATAAGGGATATCTTTATCATTGTAAAGTTTGTCACTGAACTCAGTATGTCTGTCAATTTATTAAGTTGCATTAGGTACATCTATACCATTATAAAAATTAGTTACTGGTCATAGAGGTTTCCTACTCTGATATAAACTAGAGTTATTGCCCTTTTTCTTGTTCCACTCTCTCAACATATTCTCTGTTACCTGTTAATGCCAATTTTTTTGGAATCCATCTTGGAATGACAGAGCATCACTTGTTTGTCTTTTTTTCCTTTAAGAAATATAATTGATAGAAGAAGCCATCCATATGTCTGCTTAATATTTCTTCACAGGTGGAGAAACACTAAGATCGGAGGAGAACGCCACGGTTAATTTACGTTGGCTAGCTGACATGAGGGGTTAGATATATACCCATCATATATATATGTTGTGTGTATAGTATTGTGTTGATAGGCTTCATCATAACTGCCCCTGTGTTGCTTTGTTTACAGTTTTGGATTTTGAACCTCCTCAGTTTTGTTTATAATTTACATAGTTGCCAGCATTTATAATGAGTTGTCATACTTAAGTATCATTTTCTGTCAAAATTCTGATCTGTATTAGTAACTTCTCCTTTTGATGTTTTTTGTCCCTGCCACAAAAACATCAGTAGAAAGCAGTTTACTTCTTACAAGTTCTAAAAAGTAAATATCTAAGTTACCTGAGAATGGAAGACAAAAATACATTAAATACCGCAATTTTGGATCTTCAGTGGATTACAAATATTGTCATTTGGAAATAAAAAGACAAAAAACAAACAAAAACAAAACAAAATCTATATAAAATTATGATAAAAAAAGACAAACAGCCAAAAAATAAGATTAAGTCTAATCTTATTGCAAAAATTTCAGCAATGAAAATTTATTGTTATCACTGAACGATAGGCACCTTTTCTGTAAGTCAGTCAGTATGACTGTTCTTCAGTCCATCAGTCAGCTGTTATCAAAAATGTCTGTATACCCCTCAGTCACATTACAGTATATCAAAAATGACTGTATACCCCTCAGTCACATTACAGTATATCAAAAATGTCTGTATACCCCTCAGTCACATTACAGTATATCAAAAATGTCTGTATACCCCTCAGTCACATTACAGTATATCAAAAATGACTGTATACCCCTCAGTCACATTACAGTATATCAAAAATGACTGTATACCCCTCAGTCACATTACAGTATATCAAAAATGTCTGTATACCCCTCAATCACATTACAGTATATAAAAATGTCTGTATACCTCTCAGTCACATTACAGTGTAACAAACATATCTATACCCCCTAAGTCATACGTTATACTGTACTGCTGAAAACTTAACCCCTCCCCCCAACCCCTGTATATATGTAATATATGTATGTATATATCTTTACTTGTCATATTTTCATATTTTACGACATTATTACAATGTATGATAGCTGTACTGCTGAAAACTTTACCCCTCCCCCCAACCCCTGTATATATGTAATACATGTATATCTTTACTTGTCATATCTTGCGACATTATTACATTGTACGTTAACTGTATTGCTGAGGTTGAACATTTCTTTTTGTTGATTCTAGATGAGCAGATTGACCTTTTTTCATTATTATAAGAAATTTTCATGAAAAGTTTTATTTTTGTTCAGCTTTGTGTATATAGGTACTATCTTTAGTATGCATAGTGCCAGATTTTCAAACTTCTGTTTCTGTAGAGTTTTCAGTTATTTCAAATGAAAAATATTTCTTCATGAAATGATAATACTAAAGCATAGCTATTTAACATAATCGTTGATGCAGCACTATTTATTTCATTTGAAGTTTAAAAGTTCCTTGTCACTACATTTTTTTAAAATGCTGTGGAACCTGTTTTCTAAAGTCAGACATGATAATATTAAAAATTTAGCACAATTTTGTTCTCTGTAGAAAGCTGAATTTGTCGCTGTACAAAAACAATTTGTTTTATTGGACAATATATTGAATTTTTGTGTAGAGTATGATTATACATAAATACAAGATGGTTACAGATTTAGCCTGGGAAGAAACCCTTAATCAAGAAAGTACAACCAAACATGACATGATCAAGCCTTGACAGCTTCGTTATATATAAAATTATATATATGGATTGTATAGAAAATAATGTATTGTCTGGTTTGTGATAAATGGTTTGTACTTTTAGATTTGAGTTAATTCAGGTTTCTTGGAAAAATTTGACTACAAATGTAAAGAACATTTCTGCTATATGAATATTTTGCTTTAAAGGCAAAAGACTGTTGATATAATCTTTATGATACAATACTAGGTGTATTCTGGTCTAGAATATAGAATCTCTTGTTTCATAAGTTTCTCTTATGTCCATTTCAGAGATAAAGAATTGTCAGATAATCTCTTAACAAAATATTTAAACAGTTAGTGAGTTAAGAATTAGTGATTCATCAGCACATTTTACAATAAAGAAGGCAGATAGAATCTTATAGATATATGTACATTTTTAACATGTCATAGGATTTGAAATCGTTAATGAGAAGTTTACATGTCCTGTTGTAGGTCGTCCTCCAGCCACTCCTAGACAACAGCAAACAAAACAAAGTCAGAAGTCACGGGTAGAACCACATCAACCTATTATTCGTACTCCAGGCAAGCCTGCAAAGTCAAGAGGGGATGTTTCCAGGTCATCCCTAAACATATCTGGGGAACACCTTACACCACGGGCAACCCCCAATGTCAGTTTTAATGAGAGTCAGGATGTCTTTTTATCGGGAGAAGACACTCCAAGACAGCAAACACCACAAATTCCCATTGAAGAGCCAAAAGTAGAGGCACAAAAACCTGCCACTGTTACCAGGCAACCACAGCAACATCGTCGACCACAGACACCACCTGTCGCAAGGGTGGAGAGACCCCCCACTCCTGGGGCCAAAGGTCGGGAGGTGAGTGGAGGTCACAGAGGAAATGTGAAAACTCAGGAAAGACCAACTGAACAGACAAAACCTAAAGTGATGGCTGATAGAAGTGTCGGGTCAGATAGTGATGACACTCTGGAGGGCTCAGAAGCAGCAACAGTTACTACTAAGGCATCTGAAGGAAGGTAAAGTATCTTCACATGTTCACAAGAAGATTCATTTCATAAAATATGTTGGTGTTAATCTGATGTTGTCAGAATTAGTAATTTTTATTTAAGCTCAAATTGCCAGTGTTCAGATTTTTGCTGCTCGATATAGCACTTGTCATTTTTTAAATATCTTTATTCCAGTGAGAAATTCAGGATTCTGCAGGATGAGATTGGCCGGCTTAGAGATGAATTCAAAAAGGCAACAGAAGAACAACGCCAACAGACACTACAACAGCAACACCATCAACATCACCAACATGTACCAATTCAACAACCACAACCTCCTCAACAACAGCAACAACAGCAACAGGATGACTATCACTACTTTGACCCCACTGAGGATGCTTATGCCTTCATGAGAGGTCCACGAAGAAGAGCGAATTCTTTCTCAGGAGCAGGCGTAAGAGACTGGGATGATTGGTGGAAGTACCCTCTGAATAACCCTAATGATGGAGCTGAGATTCCTCTTGGTTATGCTGCAGCTGATTCCTATGCCACTCCTAGGAGACAAGCAGCAGCAGCAGCCGCTGCAGCCACAGCTGCTGCCTTGGAATCAGGACAAGAGGCACGTCCTAGAGGTCGTCATCGTATCCGCAAAAAGTATCGCAAGACAACCTCTGAGAATGCAGCCCAGACTCAAGCAGGATATGAATCTGACCAGTCACCAACAAGAGCCACAGCCTCTACTGTCACTGATGATCAGTTGTTTAGTTACTATGTGCCACGATACCACCAACCTTCACAGATGGCAGCCACTCCACAGCAGGCACCACAGAGGGCAGCACGCTACAGTTCACAACCCAATCTTTATTATGGGGCCTACCCCACAGCCAATGTCCAGCCTCAGGTATATGCAGCAGTGCCTCAACAGTCCACACCAACTCAGCAATACACACCCAGAAGTGCCAATTACTCAACTCCTATCTCTGCTGGATACAGCCCAAGGGCACGATACAGGACTCCCTCATCACCACAACAACAGCGCACATACTCTTATGATGACATGGATGTTCAGGGTCAAGGTCAGACCTACCAACCAGCACCTGTGGCTTATATCCTGACAGACCAGGTGCCAGGAGCCACTGAACCAGTGTATGAAACTACTGTAGATAATGCTGTTTGTCCACTCTGTGGAGGAGAAGGATACCACACCCACACGGAACAGGAAGCAGCTCCACAAACAGCCAGACCCACAGTGGTATACACACTACCAGAACCAGTCCGAAGGTACCGTGTTCTATTAAGTTATCATAACTATTATATATACTGTATATATACTTGGTACTTCAGATAAATACAAAAAAGAAAGTAGCAATGTTGTACTTATTTTCTGATGAATCCTATATATATATTATCCCATCTTCTGAAACGCTACATATCTCTTCTGTCTTTTTTATCAGTAATTCACTTGTCTGTGTGCTGTTGATATTTTATGATCAGTAATTAAGTCTTAATAAATGGAAGGTAAAATAATATGATTTATTTTTTACACCATTGTAAATTTGTAACTTTTGTAACATTTGTAAATTTTAAAGCATTATATTTACTTTATCTTTATAACATGCATTTACTTATTGAATGTTCATTAATTCTCTTTAAAGGACAAGACCAAGACAAAGATCCAAATCAGCCACCAGGGTGCGCCACTACTCCCCTGAAGGCAAAAGGAGGTCACGTTATCTTGTTCGAGAGTATCGCAGCGAGAGTGAGAGTGCCGAGTCAGAGGATGAGTTTTATCATAGAAGGTAAGTAGCAGTGGAAATGGCAGAAGACACATGATACAAATACATTTTTTCTTTATTTCTTCTGTGAGAAGCTTATTTGTAGTTATATACCTTACATCTTAAAACCATATGAAACTTGAGCGATGAGTTTTGATGTGGATGACAAGTTCATGGACAAGAGATAAGTTCCATGTTGATGAAAATTTCCTTTTTAATTTGATAAATTATAAGATTTACCAATAAGAATATATGAATGAGAATTAAGATGATCCTGCTATACTTTGTGTTAGAGTTATCTCCCCTTTACATCATGCTTGTAATTTCTGTTAAATTGTCATTATTATGCCTTGTAAAAGAAAGTTGCTGTAGGATATGTAAATCAAGTTGTATGTATTTGTCAATTCTCCATTTAGTAGTCAGATTGTTTTGGAGAGTATCTCAATACCTAATAAGATACATGTAAATTAATTGATTTTATGAACTAGTACATGGCATTCTAAGATTTTCCTAAATTAAAGTGTCCTTGTTTATTAATTTGTATCACTTTACACAATACTTTTTTGAAGAATATATATAATATACATATATATTTCTGAGTCTATATTTGATCAAGTGTATTGAGTTCAGCGCCAAGATGGCTAATTTTGGTACAAAATTTGACTGCATGTTGTGAATTGTTAATTTGGAATAGGAGCAGAAGTTCGGGTAGGAGGCGGCGAAGACCTGGTCGGCGATACAGAAAGGTAAAAAATGGTGACCATGGTAGTCCCAGCCATGGTGACCGTGGTGATGGTGTCTGCACTGCTGTTGAGACTAATCCACCTAACAATGACTCTGATGAAGGGGTATGTCACTCGGTTCAGACCGTACAGATAGCAGTTACTCTTCACTCACACAATAAGGGTCAGTCGGTATCAAGTGAAGCGACCTAGTGTCAGATGTAGATATTCCCAAATAGTTATCTTTAGGCCAATGTTCCTGTATTAACAGTTGTGAAATTATATATTTAAGCTCTCAGTATCTGGTAGTTACTAATGTGAAGTTACATGCATGTGAAATTTTATCAGCCTTTTTCAGCTATTACCCATATCGCCAGAGAAAACATTTAGGCAAATTTGCGTTACCTTGTAAAGTAATTTATCAGAAAATTCAAGGCTTTACTTTTTCAGAATATCCATGTCAAAAATAATGACATTTCCCTGTATTGATCATCTCCTTCATTAGGGTCTGTTGTCTGTCTAACCTCTGTAACATCCCTCAGTCTATATAACTGTAATTGTATAGACTTGTGTTTATTGTCTGTCTTTCCTCTGTAACATCCCTCAGTCTATATACCTGTAATACTATAGACTAGTGTCTATTGTCTGTCTTACCTCTGTAACATCCCTCAGTCTATATACCTGTAATACTATAGACTTGTGTCTGTTGTCTGTCTAACCTCTGTAACATCCCTCAGTCTATATACCTGTAATACTATAGACTTGTGTCTGTTGTCTGTCTAACCTCTGTAACATCCCTCAGTCTATATACCTGTAATACTATGGACTAGTGTCTATTGTCTGTCTTACCTCTGTAACATCCCTCAGTCTATATACCTGTAATACTATAGGCTTGTGTCTGTTGTCTGTCTTAACTCTGTAACATCCCTCAGTCTATATACCTATAACCATATAGACTAGTGTCTATTGTCTGTCTAACCTCTGTAACATCACACAGTCTATATACCTGTAATATTATAGACTAGTGTCTATTGTCTGTCTAACCTCTGTAACATCCTGCAGTATTTTGCATAGACTTGGATCTCTTGTCTTTCTAACCTCTGTAACATCCCTCAGTCTGTATACCTATAACCATATAGACTAGTGTCTATTGTCTGTCTAACCTCTGTAACATCCCTCAGTCTATATACCTGTAATACTATAGACTAGTGTCTATTGTCTGTCTAACCTCTGTCACATCCCTCAGTCTATATACCTGTAATTGTATAGACTTGTGTCTGTTGTCTGTCTAACCTCTGTAACATCCCTCAATCTATATACCTTTAATTGTATAGACTTGTGTCTGGTGTCTGTCTAACCTCTGTTGTAACATCACACAGTCTACATACTTGTAATATTAAAGACTAGTGTTTGTTGTCTGTCTAACCTCTGTAACATCACACAGTCTATATATATATATATATATATGTAGTATGTTTTATAAACTTGCATGCTTCCTTTGTACCACAAGCACCTCATCCCTCTCTGTTTATGCACTAAAATACATTAAATCATTTACATTGCTTTATGGGTTTTTTTCTATTTCAAAATAAATATGGCTTCAATTATATCAATCTTGTGGATTTGTATATGCATTTTTATTAGTAAAACTTTGAACTTAAACGTACATAAGCTCCACACTTTTCTGATACTGTTAGCCTTACAGTCATTAAAACTATGTTGATATATCTGCATTATTACTGCACTATCCAGAGACATTCAATTACTGTGACCTCTATTTTCTGCTTGAATGAGTTTGTTGCAAGCTAAATGTGTGTATGTCACCCAGAGCAACACCTATTATTAATACTATTCTACAAATATTTTCTGTCGCATTTTCTTACTCAGTTTTATATGCTGTCTTGGTGGGGATCATGTAATCTAAAAATGAAAGGGAGAAAAAGGGTGATTTAAAAATTGTGATGCCCATGTCAAGCAATGAAAGTGAAAATATGAAAACTAAGACATTATTGACGGGTCAACAAAATCTTAATTCAAACTCATTGAAATTGCATGATTTGAAAAACTGTAATATTTACACTCAGATTCTCGAAAAAAAGGCAAGGATAATAAGTAATTGGTATAGTGAAAACTGAGGGATTTATCTCCCTTGGTTGGAATTGAGGTGACATGGCAGCATGCCCTTGTTAATAAACATCACTGTACATTTCTTGGGTAGAAGTTGTGAGATGTGATGGCTTGTGCCTAATCCAATTTGTTATTGTTTACTATGACTTTGATAACATCTCTATACCAGTTATTAGAGACTGTGATACTAATAACATCTATATACTATTTATTACTGAGTGTGCTGTGAGCTTTGTCTACTTTTTTCAGGGAAAGGATGATATTGCAAAAAAATTGATACTCTACAATAAGATACATTAGGAATTATGGTCTGTTGTAGAATTTTTTTGGAAATATAAAGAAAGTTTTAAAAATCTTTCTACTTCATATTTTAAGTTAAGCATGGAAAATTTGAACCTTAATTAACAACATTAACAATGTCTAGTTATATATTGTTTAAAATCTTTTTGTAATAAATTTCATGTTTCTTTGTATCTAATGTGATTTATCGACATTTCAATTTCTAAATTTTTTTCTCAACCTTTTGGACGATATTTCACTGGATAAATAACCTGACATTTGAAAGTTTAGGATTATAGTTTGTCTGAAGGTGACTTTGTTGTCTTTATTAGGGGTGAAGTTCACCTCCTCTATGAAAAGTTTGAAAATATTGTAAAACCTTAATCATCAAATGTCCCTTGTTGGATATCATTTACTATATAGTCAATACTTATTACCAAAATAATGTTATGACCAATTACGTATGGTTGCAGGAGTATGAGGACGCTCTGAACCAGTCACTCAATTTGACGGAAGAAATTGATGACCTCACAACCAAGATGATGTGTACAGTTCGTGGCGAACTAAAGAGAGCCAAGAAACACAAAGACTTTGGCTCCTCTGTGTGGTGAAAGTTGTACTGTTGATGAAAGTGATCTTCATAGAACTAAAGAAGAAGATGTGATCAGTACACACCATAAAGTATAGTACCAGCAGTAGATTTACCATGGTAGAAAGTGTACTCTTTCAGCTCTGCTGTGCAGTGAGAATGTCCCACCATAGATTTTACGAGGAAAATATGTACTCATCGACCTTGCAATGGATGACACAACTGTCCTGCATAGACAATAGAAAGATGTACATATCTAGCTAGCTGTGGTTGGCTGTGCTTCCACAGATTTATAAAGGGAAAAGATGCACTTGTCAAGAGAGTTATGGTTGGCTGTATTTCCATAAACCTAACAAGGGAAAAGATGCACTTGTCTAGCTAGCTGTGACTGGTTGTCCTTCCATGGTTATCACAAGGCAAAGATAAAATCATCAGCTAGCTATGTTTGGCAAAACTGTCCATATAAACCAGTACTAAAGTGTGCGGATGGACATCCAGAGACAAATTTATCAACTTGTGTGTTTATAAGACTGCTGTATGTTGATAAAGTGTGCTCCTGTTCAACAATGAGAGACAATATTTGGACAATGAGAGTTGTGGTTCGTTCACACTTGCTGGTAATGTATTAAGTTGAGGCTTCGGTATAAGTGTGTCTTAAGATAGAGTGTTCTCCATGGTGGAGCAGAAGAAATGTTTCACATGTAAGGAATCTTAATATACATGTACCTGTTTTGTGTATGTGAATGATATCGGACAAGATATGGCCCCGTTAAACTTACATAATAGTTTTTATATCCAATGAATAATTAAATTTGATTAGATGAGATGAGAATAGATTGAGTGCACATGCACATATGGAACTATACTCATTTAAAAATGAATAGGAGAGGTATACATGATTGTATAGTATGTATCAAGCATAACATCTAAATTTGTCGTACCTGGTGATAATTTCTGTTAAGTTTCAAATCCCTCTTTTCTTATTACAGAGTTATCTGCTCTTGTGAGCAGGTTTTCCTTGTCACCCCATTTGTTTGTGAGAGTCGAATTTTCTGACAAAAACTAATGGTGTAATGATCAATATCTGCCCACAAGAGCAGATAACTCTGCATTACATTAAGATTTCAGAGAAAAAATTCCATTGAATTCTGTATCAGGGTCTCTATGTTGCTGCTCTTGTTGCAGGAAAATCATTACAAAGCACAAACTTGAGTGACACATTATACTGAAAGTAAAATTAATATTGAGCACAACATATCAGATTGGATAGTAACTTGGCTTCGTCTGACTCTCTGTTTCATTAACACATAAGATTGTAATACTAATTATGGTGGTCAGTATAAGTCTACACAGAGACAAGAGAATTTGTAAAAGAGACTCAAGGTCTCTTTTTATTGTCTTCTTTCAGTTAACTTATCAACAAAATATTTATTTGTGAAATAAAGAAAAAAATACTGTTCTAAACAAATGCCTACTGTATTCAACTTGTAATGTGATTGACCTTCTACTAATATGTGTACATGTGAGAATATCTATAGTATATAAGTAGATTATTATTTATAAATACAACTATTAGAGCCAGTACCTTGCATGAGTCTAAATCAGAAGAACTGATTTCATTTCAATATTAACATCATTATGGAGTGGAAAGGCATATTTGTGTTCCTTTCATTCGAATCCACTTTACATACATATGTCCATGAGACCCATCCTTGATATATTTATGTCATTACTAACCTTAGAATCTGAAAAGTTGAATTTTTATTTATTAATTTAAACAGTTTTTTGTACCTCTGTTCTTATAACTGACCTACTTTTGCTTAATTTGTACATTGGAACATTATTTGTCGTTTGGAAAGATTATTAACAGCTGGAAAAGTCATGAACATTTGAAAGAATATACTATTTATTTGTCCTATCAAAGTAGCGATCTCCTTGCAAACCACTTTCTATATAGAAGTCCAACATTTACTTTTTGATTTTTACTAATAAGAAGTGTGATACATTATATTTATTGTTTCTTTATAGTTTCTATTGTTGTGAAGTAAATTTTATTGTGATACTTTTTAACTTGGGTACATGTAGGTACGTTCTCAGAATACCTCAATAGTAGATCTGTGTATGAAGTCGTGTTGAAGAGATGAACATTAGATGGTGCATGTAAATAACATATTAATCTTTTGTATATTTAAACATGTAAATCATGTATACGAATTATATAACATGTTTATATCAAAATGTACATAGAAATAGCAATAATCGTGTGTATAACATATTAAATATATATAAATACATGTGATATGTACATCAAGTACTGAAGTCCTGTGTTAATATTTACATACATATTTATGTATTTTTGTGAAGTTTTTCATAACATTAAATCAAAGGGTTTAAGTTATTTAATATTGAACTAATTAACATTTTAACTATGATCAGGTGATCAATCTATAACTGAACAGCACTGTTATTATAACCGCAGCACATGGTTGTAGAATTTATAAACTAAAATTCAGTTAGTATATTTTTGTTATATTACTTTGAGGTCGTGTGTAACAACTGCTTCCCATTCTAGCACATGATAAACATCAACAGAGACCCCAAGTTTTATTCGTATATAAATCAAATCATATGGAGATCATATCTCTTACATTATACAAAGTGTACAATATTTATTGATAATTGCACATGGAGAAATTTAAAAAAAACTGTGATATAATTTTTATTGGTTTTACTTGTACTGTATGTTGTATGTATCTTCTTTACGTACCAATTTATTTTTTTCGTCCTATAGCAAACATGATCAAATAATTAGAACTGTGATTTACTTATACAATTTTGTACTTTATATCCGTCCCACCACTTGTTTTGAGTGTTGTAACCGTCCTCGACTCTCCCCTCCTTTTAGAGTGTTGTGACTGTCCTCGACTCTCCCCTCCTTTTAAAGTATTGTGACCGTCCTTGACTCTCCCCTCCTTTTAGAGTGTTGTGACCGTCCTCAACTCTCCCCTCCTTTTAGAGTGTTGTGACCGTCCTTGACTCTCCCCTCCTTTTAGAGTGTGGTAACCGTCCTCGACTCTCCCCTCCTTTTAGAGTATTGTAACCGTCCTCGACTCTCCCCTCCTTTTAGAGTGTTGTAACCATCCTCGACTCTCCCCTCCTTTTAGAGTGTTGTAACCGTCCCCGACTCTCCCCTCCTTTTAGAGTGTTGTAACCGTCCTGAGTAGAACTAGAATCACATCCCAGTGCTAAAAATTTGCAGGGATTAGTTGATCGTTGTCTACTGTATTTCACAAATATTCTGTTTTACATACAGTTCATTTGACTATATACATAAGTGAACATTTAGTACTGGAATGTCTTAGTTTTATGGTATATCTGAATTCCAATAGTTATACATGTATAACCTTTTTATTTTCTTTAATTTTATATATTGCAAGAAAAATTTACATTTAAAATTCCTTTGATAATGTGTGTTATGAAAATCTCGTTTTTTTTAATCGTAAAACTAATATTATGAAAGTTTTTTGAGAGGTTTGTGTTAATTTTTAATTATGCAAACAAGACATTTGAATAACTTCATACTGACAAATTCAGTAAGGTTTGATTATAACAATCAACAGAGTATAAATATCCTAGTAATTAATAAGGTCACAAGTATGTACAGGTGTCTTGCCATTATACTGTCTAGGAAAGATAACTTCTGATCGTGGTATTGATTGTATTTTGATATTATAGATAGGTTTGTTGATGTTGTGTGTAACAGCAATATTTCATTGGAAGTCATTGAATAGTATTTGGAAAGAAATCGTGCATACTTTATAATATGGGTATGAAGTCAGATAGATCTGTTTTCATCATGTTAGTGAATTCATTTATACATAACTAATGAGAAAATTAATTCTTATTAAATGATTTCATACTAACATATTCTAGAAGTAGGTTCATTACTTCTAAATTCATCAGTACTTAATTGTGATGTTAATGAGAAATGTGTCCGTACAGAAAAATGTACCCATTTATTATATATACAAAGGTAAATGTGTTATTCCTGTGCTGTTGTACCAATATTTACAGGTTTTTTGTAAATGCTTGGGAAAGACAATTTTTACAACTATGTTTACAAAGGTAAAATTGATTTTAAGATATGTACAAGAGGTCCATTCATCCAAATTTTTAACATACAGTAATTGTACTTATAATATATATCAATACGTGGTAATCTTAATTTATAATTGCACTCATCGTATTTTTGGCTACAATTTTCTATAATAAATTTTGTAGATGCACCAATTTTATCAACATATTTAATCTGTTAAAACTTGATGTACTAAAATTTCATCACACCAAGATATGTATACCAGCAGTTAATACGGAAAAACTAGATGTATCGCACTGTCTGGTTAAATATAATGCAGTTATGATAGGGTCATTAGCAATAAATATTGGACATACTACTCATTAATGAGCATCAATAGTAATTTCATATAGTGGAACACTTTGTTTCTGATCGGTGTGTAAATGTATGGATTGTGTAATAATCCCAGACATCAGTTGTAGCTATCATGTATACCATGTTAGTAGGGCGTAGGTATCCTATTAATTGTGATATTGTCAGCCCTTTAAGAGGGTCGCTTGTTTTTTTATAAACCCTTGCATACATGATTACTAAGCAGTCATGATTAAATTATATTTATGTACAATAAATTCTTGTTTGTTTGTTTGTGGGTTCATCACTGTAGGATACAAAGGGAGATACTGTGCTATCAAAAAGTATAGGATGGTCAGAATCCCTAGTAATATCAGTTCTGACTGATTGTATTAAGTCAGATATACTGGTAAGGTAAGGAAAACTTAGGACATAAGGTAATGCATCACAGCTACGGTCAAGTTACGATTTAGATCTGATATCACCAGTTTGACTGTGGTTTTATTGCCCAATCAAGTTTTATGGATCTTTTGTAATTTGAATTCCTTTAAAACTGTATTTTGTGTAACATTTAGCAATGTTGAAATGAAAATATCAAGTAAATGTATCAATTTGTCTCACTTATTGGCATGTTCCAATACTAGTTGCCTAATTTCTGTATTCATACCCAGAACAAGACATCCAATATATTTGATACGAATTATGACATTAGCTGTATCTCTCTCTTAAGGTCATAATTATATTGGTCTGAAGCATATTGATTTTAATTTATATCCAATTCAAAACTTGAGCCAATCCTAAACTCTAAAATCTTGTCAGAAAGCTGTGGAATGTATCTAGCATTCATATCGGAGACTTCACAGGTCAGACTTGAAATCAGATTAAAAAATTAGTGAATTTCCTACTGGAAAGAAGTAGGATTTATTGGTGTTATTATCTGGTCATAAAACAATATCCAAGTATGGCATTATCAGTATCTACTTTTTTGTACAACAGCAAAAAAATATTTCCATATATCAGTGATGAAGTTATACATTCTGAAGATTGTGCAAAGGACACACAAATGAATAGCACTTTTCAATCCAGTTTCAGAGTTAGATACAGTAGAGCCTAACAATGAATTTAACTGCCTCATACAGCTGTTGTGTCTTCAGGACTCCTCAGTGATACTACAGGCTTAAATTTTCAACCTAGGAGGTAAATGAGGAAAGCAAAACTGATCAAAAGATTGGGAGGCCCTCTAATTAGATAAATTTCACGATTTTAATGTATAGTATCTTCAATTTAAAAAAAAAAAGTCTAGTACATGTGTAAAATCTTAAATATGACTATTTAAATACATTAAACACTTGTTACAGGAAGCCTTGGGGACAAAATGTCCACCAACAGTGTCTACCACTTGCAACTGTAACGATTATACTAAAAACATCCAAAGCTAATAACCCATTTCAACACGAATTTGTTTTGTTGCTGCAAAATGCGAGCTACAAAGAATGCTAATGAACACAATACTGATAAACCACACAAAGCATGAAATTTCTTTTCCACGTTTATTAGCCGCTATGTACATTTCTAACTCTTGGATTTTCTTGTTGCCTTGACGACCACTGGCTTCTGGCTCTTCAGGAGGGCACTGGCACGTCGGATAGCAGCCTGCAATATTAAACTGTTACTGAGAACCAAGTATAACTCGAGAAAGTAGTGTTGTATATCTGTATAGTACACACATTATTTCATTGGACAGTCTGTTAACTTGTACAGAGATAGTCAAATTGTATGGCAATATATTTTGTAACATATCTAGGGAATGTATGATAAAATGCCACAGGGAAAAACTCAATAACAAACAACTAAGTTCAAGACTTGGAATATGTCCTAAATCATCACTGTCCAAAAACAGGAATTTTGACAAAAAGAAATCCTGACTCACCATCTTCAGGTCCTTCCTGTATCTGTTGTTTCTAACAGTCTTCCTGATGGTGCCCAGTACACGCCTGGGATCTCTCTTCAGTTCCATCTTCGTGTAGTTCTTATTGGGCTTCCTCCATCCTGCAATAAAATAGATTAATTTGTATTGACTACATGTTTCTACATTAACCAATTAAACTACACACACGTACTGACAACTACATTGTCAGAACCTGGTTTCCAAGTCAGTAGTCTTGTCTAACAATGCCATAAATAACATTAGGTCAGTACCAAAATGGTGTCTAACAGGAACTATTTCAGCTTTCTAAGTTTCTTTTGGAGTATTCATTGAAAATTCAAATAGTTGACCCTACAACCTTGACAACGTAAATTGAATAAAAATGTTATATTACTGTACTAAGGATAGGCCTACAGTTTATCTTTTTTTTCTTCCAAATTGGTTAAGTGTAACTTTTGACCCTGGACTATTCCCCCTATAGTGTGCACATTCATTGAACTGATTCACAGGTTCTACAAACTTTTTATATGAACTGATATACAGACAAAAAACTTAAACTAAACTAAAGTTCTAGTCTGTATATTATGAATTATGTTCAGACTGACAAGTACATATGTGAATAAAATGCCATGTCTGATGACTTAAGACCTTACAGTGATTACACTCTGTTGTTAACTTTGTCTGCAATTGACCAGTGAATCACATAAACAATGAGGTGTAAAATTATGTAAACTCAGGTAGAACACAGGGCAGAACAATACATGCCCGTCCCATGCCAAGGAATTATTCAGGATTTGTTGTTTCAAAACAATTACAAATATGGAAACGGTAAAAATGACAAAACAGGTTTTTAATAATTAGTCAAAACAAACCAAAAAGGTTTTGAAGAGATGGGTGGAATTACAAGGCTGGAAATGACAAGGGGCATCAACTTTTGGAAAATATTTTTTTAATCATAATGCTTTCCTATAACACAATCTCATGTTCTCCTGTTGTGGAAATTGGTTGAAAACTGAGGGAGGAGGTATCTGGATTAGAGAAAAATAATGAAGTAAAAAAACTAAAACAGAAACAAATTGGTAATGACTCTTTCTTGAATTGTAAAATCACAATGCCAGTATGGCATATAAAGGTTATAAAATCTACCAAGTTTCATTGAAATTGGTGAAAAATGAGAAAGGAGATCTAAGCACAAAATTAAAATGCTGAAACAGCAAAGGGTAATTACTCGTTCAAACATTGCTGAATCAATCTGCTGTGTAGGAAAACACCAATTCATATCATAGTGACTTCAGACTACCAAGTTTGAGAGGAATCGTTTGAAAACTGAGACAAGATTTCAAAATAAGCAACAAAGGGCAGTAATCTTCCAAATACAGTCAATTTGAAAATTTGAAAACTTTTCAAGTTGATGATATACCTCTGATTGATATACCTACCAGAGGAGTTTCGTGTGACCAAGACCACACCCTTGCCATCCTTGGCTGGCTCTACACCAATGGTCTTTTGCCGAACCAGACCATTGTAGCGGAATGAGTTGATAGCCTTCAAATTGTTGGGCTCCTGAAATGCAATATGATATCATTAACACGTGACATCTAGACAAAGGAAACAACTTAAAATCCATTGGAGAAAAACTGAGGAAGGAGATCTTGGCTCAAAGTAAAAAAAATTCAAAGGGAAGGAACTCCTTGAAAAAAATTGTTGAATCTAATTGCCAAAACACAAATTCATGTCATAGCTATAAAACCTACCAAGTTTGAAAGAAATTTGTTGAAACAGAGGAAGATTGCAGGACAATATATCCATGTACATTATGAACACTAACAATGTGCATCAACTCTGCCAAAGCCAGCAAAATCAAAATGTTGTTCATGTAACCAAAACTTCATGTCATGGTGATACATTATCAATGTTATTGAATTATGAAAAGTTGAATCTAACCATGCTAAAGGTTCTCTTGTTTCCCTTCAACAGGAAACTTGAGTTGTTCCTGATGATGGCCCATTGTACATCGGCTGACATGGTGACTTCTTAAGTCTGCAAAAACAAAATATCAATACAGTAGATTATACAAAGAGCATGTATACATGGTACTTTAGTTGCAGATGCACTGAGAAATAACTACCAAACACAATCCAGACATTTAGCAAGTTGTTATATCAGAACTACATTTCTTGATATATCTGTGCCCATTTCTATAAGGATTAGAACAAAATATTTTGCATTGCTCCACAAAGCATTGTTGTTGCCCCAGAGCATTTTAGGGTGAATTCTCCATTGACAGATTACCACAAAATCTAATCTGGTGTAAAATTTCATGATGTGAATCTATAGTGCAAATATCAACAAATATCTATACAGGGGTTTGTCATCGAAAACATGCATGTAGCCAAGAAAAAAATTAAAAACTTTAAACCTTATATGATACAATGGACTTGGATCAACATTTTGAGGCAACCACTGCCACTTAATAATGTTAGCATGAATATAACACAAAGAGACCAATAATTGTTCATTTGTAAAATACCTGGTACTCTTCATTTTCTTTTACCAACAGAAGGGATTCAGATTACCTCCCTTTGCAACAAAACTTGTGATATAATGTAGAAACTATGTATAATTGATCTTAAAATATAAGGTTGGTGAGGGTACATAAAATTTGCTGCAATATCTTCGAGGTTTTAAGCCATATTCCTATGCCTGGCATTTATTTTAGCTTACTTCATTCATTGTAATGTCAACATCTGATAAACTGAGGTCAAACAACTTCGATAGTCCGAAATTTGAAGTTGTAAGATCAATCTATAACTGGTCAGTTTCTCTAACTATAAGCAACATTCTGGATTATTTTGGATGGAGACTTGGTCATGTTAAAATAAAGCCGTGAAAGTCAGCATCGATTTCGAGGGTCTGGGCGGAGCTAAATCGTAAAAATTATAACTTCGACACAATATACAGCTTATATCAAATGAATTACGCATGAATCACTTCCCTCTGCATTGCATTTGAGGTTTTGGGGGGGGGGCGGCTTTGATCAACGTATGAAGACAGTTCACAGTTGGCGGAAATATAGGCTATGGTGATCGGTTTGTGCCTAACATATATATTTTTCTTAGTTTAAGATTCGACACATCATAATTATCAACAATTACATTAAAGTGCCTGTTGTAATTGTGCAGAGTCTCGTATGTTATTTATCACACGTTCCAAAACGTGTCTGTTTCGAAGGAAGGGGGACAACGCAAGCGTGTTAAAACACATGGAAAGTAGTTTCAAAGTGACTGCATATAAACATTAACAATAACCATGTCATATTAATGTTTATTTTTAATACATATATCAATTTGAAAACCGTTTGGTCAGGGTATTTGAAGTATGGAATGAAGAAGCAAAGAAAGCATGGTCACCTCAGGAAGTTACAGCGAGAAAGAGGATATTAAAGTAGTTCGTGGCAATGATTTGATCGAAGACTAACACACGTATTTTTGACATTTTAATATTATTTTTATTAAACGGATAGTATTCATCAAATTAGTGATAATGCATGTGACATATTATGGAGGAAATCAATTACTATTATAGCTACAATACAGAACTCTTTTGGGTAGCGGATGAATAATATTCTTCGCCGGAAACAGATGAAATTCTAAAAAGGAAATACGACAGGTTGATCACTAAAATTTACGGAAAGTAAATAGCTCAGGTAAATAAGTGTTTCAATGCACCAAGATGCCATATGTACATTTGTAGATATCACGTTAAACATCAGTATTCAGAATTTCAATAATTTCGATGTGAAAAAATGTGTTGTATAAAACTCTCAGTTTGCGTGGTTGATCGGCAAAAGGGAGATAACTGCTAATTGTTGAAGATTTTTTTTAGACCAAATCCACATTGATATTACAGATTTTGGTTTATGGTTCACGCCAAGAAAAAAATGTAAGTCAGTAGTTTTAGGTTGGGAAGGGTTATCAGTATTGCATAGATTCCAGTTTGAATAATGCTATGATTGAAATGGAACCATCAGGTCCAGAATTGTGTTAATGAATATGAATTTAACACTTAGAGCCAGAGTTTTGACAAAAGAGTCTGTAGTTACCAAAGAAGGGAAGGCTATGATTGGAGAGTCTTTAGTTTTAGTCAATGGTGTGACATAGCTAATTATATTTGGTCTACCATATTTACTATGTTATAGCTTTATGATTTTGTTCAAAACACTTGAAATAAGAATGAAGTTCGATTAAAATATGCTTGACTAATCAGAAGTATTATATGTATATATGTTAACTGTTTAAAGTCCAATCCTTGTGTCATATGTATCATGACAATACCATTGTTGAAAATTGAAAGTTGAAATTGAAATGTTTGGAAGAACTTTATCAATTCTTATTGTCTCTCTTTTCAGGTAACATTAACTTCAAGAAGATTGATTTCAGAAAATGCAAGAGTTGAAAAATTAAATACTGTCCAGTTCCCGAGGAAAAATCAATTTCTAAAACTTGATTTTGGAAAATCAAAGTGATGATTCATCAAGATTTAAGGCAATGTTTGATGTTATGAGTCTAACATCTTGCCAAAATAACAGAAAATGACGTAGATGAATGTATGGCGCTTCCCCTCCTACCATCACAAGGTTCCACATCCCCAATGTTAGTATAATCAATTAAAGCATCAACGTCATGGCAGCAGATGATGGTAATTAGTAAAATATTACAATTAGACTACGTCAATGTGTACATCTCCAAAATGTCACAGAAGAAATCTTACAACGGAAAACATCCCCAGTTGCTAGACTTCAGGGAAGTTGTAGGTGAACATCTGTACAGTAAGGTTCTCGAGTCTTGTAGAAATGAATCACATGCTCAGAAAGTTACAGGAATATTACTGGAATGTGGGAAGGAAGAAGCCTTTCGTCTGCTGGAGGACAAAGATTTCCTTGGATCTAGAATCCGTTTAGCTGAAAATACTTTGAAGGAATGGTATGTAAATGTGATAGCTGTCCCAGTTCTACATAAATAAGAATCAAGAAGATTGTTAATTGTCTTCATTATACCAGTGAGTCATAGTCAGGCTAATTGTTTGATAGTTTGTTTCATAATTTGGCAGATTTTTACATAATGATAACATATTTTTTTTTAGTACAGTAAAATTTCAATGCAATAGGAATTTTAAACAACCTGGTAGTAAGCATATTGATAAATTAACATATTGGCAATTATTGTTCATGTATTTATGAAGTACTTTGCAATTAGATGAATAGTTAAGTTATGATGAAGAATGGATGCTACGACCAGAAATCAAAAATAGGAAATGCATGCTTGTAAGGTAGAATATCTCTGACCTTAGAGAATAATGCAGTGTAGCATTCTATAGTCCTATACATTGTTTGTTTCTTTTGCTGTAGTGGGTCTTACATAAACGGAAATGAATTAGTCAAGGCACTTCCAGCTTCTGAAATTCTTCCTCTTTCTGTTGCTGATAAATTGTTTGAAAAAGTCAGTGAAATAGAGCCGGCATTGTCTTGCCAGATTACAGGTAAGGTTGGTTGCCTCTAATACATACTCTTCACACCTTTTGGTGCCTATAATACCTACCACTACATATAAACAGGCTCTTCACTTCTCTTGTTACCTTTAATACATACATACAGACTGTTTATATATACCTCTTGGTACCAATGATAATACAGGTCTTTAACACCTCTTTGTGCACATATATTATAATGCATTCATACAGGCTCCTCACACCTCTTGGTGCCTCTTATACATACAAACAGGCCCTTTATACCTCTTGTTGCCTATCATACATACGTACAGATTCTTCATCTATGCCTCTTGTTACCAATGATAATATACATACAGGTTCTTAACACCTCATCCTACCAATAATACATACAAACAGGCCCTTTATACCTCTTGTTGCCTATCATACATACATACAGACTCTTTATCCTGCCTCTTGTTACCAATGATAATATACATACAGGTTCTAACACCTCATAGTGCTGATAATACATACATACAGGCACTTTATACATTTTTTTGCCTGTGATATGTACATACAGATTTTCCCAACCTCTTGTTTTATGATATTCCTATTTCTCCTTTAAGGAATGTTACTAGAAGCAGAATCTGTGGAAGTTGAAATGATGTTACAAAATTCAAATATCCTGAAACAGGCAGTATCTCAAGCATTACTGTCACTGTCAGCTACAGAGTCTGAAGTAGCCGAGGAGGTATCTGATAATGAAAGCGATGAGTGCTCAGTCTCCGAGGATTCCATAGGAGATCAGTTGTTTGAGGCAGTGGAAAACATTTATCCTGATCCAGATACAGCTTCCAAAATTACAGGTTCGATCATAATACCAGTAAATTCACTCTTAATGGGTGAAAAAAGGTGAAGTTAAATATTTGCCATGTTTTTCTTATACTGACACTGTTAGATGAATTGTATAATATGACAAACACACATTAGGTGATATTTATTGCTAAAGTCAAGTTACCAAACTTTGGTTGATGGAATATTCTAGTCATCAACATTTTGTGAATGTAATAGTCTAGTCAGCAATTTTTGTTGATGGAATAGTCTAAACCATTATCTCTTTTTTCACTGTTCACAGGTATGTTGATGGAGTCGGGCAGTCTTGGCCTGGACCAGCTCCTACAGGACAAACAAAACCTGACTACTAGGATACACTTGGCATACAAGGCTCTTCAGCTGAAGGATTAGGGTTCAATTTCTGTCAACATGATATGAGCTTTAAAAATATTAACTGACCAAATCATATGGCGGGTGTTTGTACTTATTTTTGACTTGGCTGTTTTTCAATTATACAAGGGTATTTCAAAAAATGTAATTGAAATGTTATGATGATACGGATCACTTGTTCCATGGTACAGAGTATACTAACATATGTAAGCACCAATTATTATCATTATTATGAATATTATCAGTATTTGACCTATAAATCAGGTCTCATGTATATTTATTGTTATAAATTTAATGTCTTCTTCCATCACAATTGCAAAATTTTAATTCATAAGAGTTCAGTTTACTTGTTCAAGCTGAAAATGGCAAAAATTTTGACCTGCAAAAATGATTGGCTCTCCAACAGATCAAAGTCTTGGGTATTTACATACTGCATATAAAAGATATGCATATTCTCACCATCTGGGAAATCTCACAATGTTTTACGTAGCCAAATGTAACATGGACATTCCGAAATGACGAAATCAGAATCAGCTTCACATTGATAGATGGAGTGGTCAGGAAGCTTACCGGCATCACTTTGTTCCATAATGAATCTGTTGTGAAGTCATGTTGACTTTCAAATTAAGTTTATTTTCTGACTCCGATCTATAATATTCTTAAAACATATTACCAAAAAACCCTGAAAACACAAGTTTAATTTAACAGTATGTTATTGGATTGGGCTCAAAGACTATTGTATGTATACCCTTTACAGGATACTTTTTGTATTTATATTTAACTATAACTTTGTGAACTTTGATTTGTTATAGTATCAATGGGTTTTATCATGGTATATAAACTTTGTAGCATCCGTCCATCTGCCAATTTTTCTCACTGTTGTGTCTTTTTCAATGGATGTGCTTGATAAATCAGGTTACAAATAGTTCAATATTTTCCATCAAATTTCAACAAAATTATAACCCTTGGTAATTTTTCATTTCAAAATTTTCTTTGAGTTTTTCTACCTTACCGTTTCACCAATATACACCCATGCATATTACCACTGACCACGTTCAGATCTAGTCATGGTTTGTCTATAGGGTACTTCCTTGCACAGTCTGGAAAGTCCAACTGTTTATAGTTTCAATCACTTATCAATGTTTTGATATAATTTGTTTATTTTTTATACCAACAACAAGTCAAAATGGATTTTGCCGTGTGTGATAGACATGAATTTTTTCTGGTCTTGTGTTGTTTTTTCCTGTCCCAAGTCAGAGAAATAGTTGTAATTTTTGTAGTAATGATAAAAGTTTTCTATATCTGTTTAGTTTGTATAAAAATTTTGTCTCTGTGGTATATTTGTTTGTTTAGTATTCAATACCAAAGAATAGCTTACTTGTTCTTTGACTTTTTTTAAATACCGAGAGCAGTTAGGGAAATAGTTGTAGATTTATGATGGGAAAGGTTGTACATATATATGGTTCATAATATTATGACTTTTTAAGGCTTTTTAGTTTTGCATTATTGAAATGTTTATGGCCGATTGTTATTATAGCCCTTTTGGTTGTATGTCTGGAGTATAACATCTCTCCGACTTGGTCTATATTCACTACATAGAAAATGAAGTAGCCAAACTGAAGGCGGCACAAATTTGTCCACCATTATACACAAATAAAGTCCTTTGTTCAACATTTTTAGTTTTAGAAAAAGGGCAAATGTTCACATGGTTTTATTAAAAGGGAAACCAGGTCAAAATTATATACAGTTTTATTTACATAAAGTTAGAGACTGTGGTTCATTATCACTGTGAAGATAGATGTTTTTGTCGGTAGAGGTTGATAAATTTGGATTTTTTTCCTTTTTTTTTTTAAATTTTACAATGCAAATATATATAAACATTTTCACATTTACTTATTTTTATTGTGATAAAGCTAATGTGAAGTAAGATAAATGACCTAGGACATAAAGAATGATGGTCTGTTTTATATACCTCTCTGAGACAAAAATAGTCAGTTGTCAGGTAGCTCTCTGATTGTCTCAGATGTCTGACAAAAATAGTCAGTTATCAGGTACCTCTCTGATTGTATCAGATGTCTGACAAAAATAGTCAGTTATCAGGTACCTCTCTGATTGTATCAAATGAAAGTCGGCAATAAAATTGGCCAATTGTATGCATGTTGTTTTGTTTTTTGTAATTCCGTTGCGATGAATATTTTTTAAAATCGATTATCTCCCCTTATATAACATACAAAGCACTGAAATGAACAATAATAAGTTGGGGGGTTGGGGGGGGGAGAGAAATCCTAACAACTGTAATTAATAGTAAAACGAATGCAATATCCACTTGAATTTGTTTCACAAAGTATTTGATGTAGGCTAAATCTATCATGAATGATGGAGGTGGTGATCTGACTAGGCATCTTGGCCTACAGCATATCGACTGAGAATCTTGGTTCAATATTTTCTACCACTTTATGTTTTCTTTGGTGGTAATAGATGTATTAGACTCTATGAAGGCACTAGCTTGAATTAATGCAAGGTTTATCTATGGTTAGTAAGCCAAATGTGCGTGCGTTTCAATCTCTCCTCTGAGGTATGGGTTTTTGAAGCAACTCGCCAAGTAGAAGTCGTTTACTGTATACAATGTACATAATTTAATTTTTCAAGAAAGTAGATTTTGTGAAGAATTGAAGATATCGTCTTGTGCAAAATCTCCATAGTTGCAGTTATATTTCATTATAAAATACTTTCCACTAAATGGACAACGCATAGTCATCACCATGGTAATTTAGCGGAAAGGTTTTACTGACAGGCGATGCCGGACAATTGCTCTTGAAATTAATAAATCGTCAGTTGTACAGCAGCTATTGTTTTATACATGGTTTTGTGAAAACGAGTAATTTCTATTAAATACAAATTCTAATGTTCATATTATACCAGAAATACAAGTGACAGCGGTTTCTCTCCTACACCATGTCCCGTATCCTGTCCTTCATGTAAAGGTCACCAGTGATATCTACAGTCCATGGTAAAATTCAAAAGAAATATTTAATAAAGTAAATATAGCATTTTAATGAATGAATTGTAAAATGTAGGATTTCAGTATAATGGAGAGGACACAGCACGTTTGATTGTAAGGAGATGACTTAGAATGTTCTTCGCCTAGCCCGGTTGGTACCAGGCAGAACTCTTTCAATAACAGGAAAAGCTGAAGTGATTCCGGCTCATGTTTTCCTCAATGCGTATATCTTTTCAATCCTATGACACCACAGACGTCACAAACCCTGCTTTACTGTTCGGTTATCATGTGCTCAATCACCCAAAAGGAAATTGGTTTCAGCGCGCAGAAAATATTTTATCACTGAGAAACGCAGTTGAACCGGAAGTTGTAATGTCATCTTGTCTTGCGGATAGGACCTGTCACAATAATGCCTGCAAAAGGAAAAGATGATTAGTGAAACCATCAGTTTATGGCAAAGTAATGAATGTTGAGCCATGCAAATATCGAATTAATTGTCATTTAAATGCTGTTATTTAAAGCATCAATGGTACTAGATCCAAAATAAATTTATTACATGTAATAACCTGCATGCATTGTTTTGACTCACTCGAATAGTGGCATGCGTCATAAGAAAATAATGAGATTTCATAAATTTTGTTGAATTCGGGGCAAAAAACGCTTCCCTTTCAATTTAACATTCATTTCAGCCAATTTTGTTTTTCCTCAATCGCATCCTTGTTTCAACGATTTAGCCTCTCTAATGAACCCTATAAGGGCGAAATAGCTGTGTGGTGCTGTTTAGTTCATAAATTTTGTAAGAAAAGGTGTTATTCACTTGTATGTCCATTAACACCTCTTACCTTTGCCTCTGTACACCATGGTGACTGTTGCCCCTGGTGACGTAGCTGATATCATAGGATATACAGTCTGTCCCTCAATGTCCATACCGGAAAATGCACTGCCGTAAAATACCCCATCAGCTCCGAATAACAGTTTCCGTTCAGGGATATCGATATACATGTAAAACCTATCCGGTAATTGACATCTATTTCCCTTGGGATATTTTGATATTTCCTTTCCCTTGTGAACTGTTCGTGACGTCACAAGATCAATGCCCCAAGAGTCCTGCGTTTCTCCTACCAGGGCAACACTTTTATGATGGTAGATCGGTGCTATTTCGTTTGCAATCCCTACACTTGCATGGTTTCCTCGCATCCAAGTCGGAAAACTTATTTCAAATATATGACGGCCTTTAGAAAAGCCTCGACTCCACTTTATTCCATATGTTTTCTCCGGGTCTGAAATAAACAAAAAAATCATTATTATAGTTATCTTTACATGATTCTCTGTTTCAAAGTGTTTAATGACGGTAATACATAATAATTAAATGTTACCTGGTCTAAAAATAGTCTGAGAGGGTTCTGATTTTCTGAGAATTTATTTATTCTTATCTATTTATTTTTGACTTTGTTGTCGTGAACATGCCACGATTTACGAACAAAACTATCACAGATGACAGTAGGAACCCTGCTGACTGTATGCCGACACACGTGCACACCTCGTCATCAGAAAACTAGGATTGAAGTTTTTATCATGGAAGTTTGGAATGCGTAGACTGATCTGTTCTTGTTGTCTAGTTCCATTCCAAAAACGGTTAAAAGCAAAAGCCCGTTCAATTAAATGTAAGAGATAATTTTCTGGGAGTTTTAATTCGTTTGATCATATAGTCGCTTTTAAAAAGAAAATAGTAAGATACTTTTTATTCATTCTGAAATACTGATAAAGGTCAATATTCCTGTCATCTAAATTTGGTAAATAAGGTCTTTCATATATACTTGTATATAAAGTGTGTTTCCAGACAGTACGGTGCGTTCATACCTATGATAGATTTTCCTACATTAATAATCTGATTCATAAACGTAAAAACAATATACTTGTATTAACATTTGACCACTCATAAAGCGATTTCTACAGCAAGGCTTTCTGAAACATAATAATTCTTGCGTGTAACTGGAATAAAGTCACTTAAAACGGGAAGCTATGGGAGTTGTCTCCCTTGATTTTACTTGCCTTTTGACTGATTAACCACTGTGTTGTCGTTAATCTTCCTGAAACCTGTCGCCTTCACGATAAGGTGGTCGTTCCATGTTTTATTGGAGCGGACCGTCGTGGACATCCAAGGAGCGGGATCCTCACCGCTAACATTATCTACATATGTATATAGAACACTGATCAATAAAATGAAAAATAAGGGCCAATGCATGTGATAAAATGTTATTGAAGTCAATCGTTAGACTAAGCCAGTATTCATAAATGTTTTTGACTTCCAATGAATCACGGAACTTGTAGGCAATATAGATACAGCCTGCTACATACAAGTTGTAGTTAAGAAAGTCTATTTTTATATCGCAAACTATGGCAAACATAACGAGAAGGAATTTTATTTAGTTATTTAACGTCAGTAACCCTGATCGTGGACAGGACCGGGATTCATGAAAAATCTAAAGTTTATTACCTAAAATAAAACTTCATTTAATTAAATAAGATTTATTTATGAATCCCGTTCCTGGTTTTAGATCAGTAAATCACATATATTCCGCTAAACGGTTTAGAAATACCAACAAAAGAAACATTGAGCACAGTGCTTACAGGTACCAAGACAGATAGGATAGATTTAAACATTATAATATAGAGATTTACAGATTTGTGAATGTATGCCAAAATCAAAGAAGACATTAACATATCTCACAATTTTAAAAAAGATTAAAACATTTTTTTATCTTAAATCGCAGGAAACATGAAAGTCTGTTACTACACTGACATAACTTACCGACACTGGTGTGCCGGGTGTTCGGATTTACCACATTGCCCATTCACTCAATGTTGAAGATAATCTCTCGGATACCATCCTGTAGATGTATAAATGTATCGTGTGTTTAAGTCCACTGGTATTTAACAAGGATTTACTTGTAATATATATGTAGCTACCTCACAAATTATCTGTAACAAGAAGTGGTTGTATACTAAAACACATAAGTATATTTGTTTTCTCGTGTTGTTGACAAGCCTGTATTAACAATGCTATAATTACGCTGCACAGTAAACCTAAACAGGGAGCAGTGTTGTTCGCGCTTGAATTATTGATAATTTAAATCTAGCGATTACCAGAAACACAATTCGTCTCTTGTTACTAACACCACTGTCTGTTTACTTGACATAAATGTTGACAATGAACATATAGTAGATCATGTAAATAAATATCCGAAAACCATTTATGTTTGTCGTCAATGCATTCTGCACTGTCAATAATACATTTCAATACCCACCTGTAATGCCAGTCTTACCTACATACCTGGTATGTGCCTTGTTGTGTGCCGATATCCAGGTCGGAACATGAATACATGTATATACAGATAATTGTACAGCCCACCACAACTTTAAAGCCCACGTGTCGATTGGGATCAGTTAAAAAAATATCTAGATATCATTACTAACACGTACATGTAAGACGACTTTGTCCAGTGTCTAGAACCCACTACCGGCTAGATCACGTTTCAGTTTAGTATAGTAAGTGTTACCATTATGCTTTAGACTGGTTTATCTTTCATTATGTTGCACTGAAACAAATAAATTTTATTTACCGATATGCTTAATAACTGAAGGACATGAAATAATCGCACTGCGACATAAAGGGAATGAAAATAATATCACATCTTTATTCCTTCAAAACACGGTTTCAAACTTGAGAGTGACCCGCGAGTGAAGAAACGTTAAGTTAAACCTGGTATATTTCATACATTTGTAGGTTAATCCAGTCGATTTATATTACCATGTCAAGCCTTGTACTGGAATGTCTGTTGGATTGTCCTGACGAATCGTACAGGAGAAACGTAGATATTAAAATTCTAGTACTCTAGATAAAACTGGTCATATTAATTACCATGTTAAAGCCGACCGAGTGCATAGTGACATTTAACTACGACCATTCAAGTGGTCAACACAAATTGAACGTGCCAGTTCTCACAGGTGGCTTTGTGTCAGTGTATTTATGTGCCTAAACGATTACCGTAAATAACCATTTGTTCCACAAGGGCGAAAGGGCATGTAACATTGTTTCTTTGGGAGAGGGCATGTACCAATGTTTCTTTGGGAGAGGGCATGTAACAATGTTTCCTAGGAGAGGGCATGTAACAATGTTTCCTGAGAGAGGGCATGTAACCATATTTCTTGGGGAGAGGGCATGTAACAATTTTTCTTGTGAAGAGGGCATGTAACAGTGTTTCAATGCTTCTTTGGGAGAGGGAATGTACCAATGTTTCTTGGGGAGAGGGCATGTAACAATTTTTTTTGGGAGAAGGCATGCAACAATGTCTCTTGGGGAGAGGGTATGTAACCATATTTCTTTGTGAGAGGGCATGTAACCATATTTCTTTGTGAGAGGGCATGTAACCATATTTCTTGGGGAGAGGGCATGCAACAATGTTTCTTTGGGAGAAGGCATGTAACCATATTTCTTTGTGAGAGGGCATGTAACCATATTTCTTTGTGAGAGGGCATGTAACCATATTTCTTGGGGAGAGGGCATGTAACAATGTTTCTTTGGGAGAAGGCATGTAACCATATTTCTTTGTGAGAGGGCATGTAACCATATTTCTTTGTGAGAGGGCATGTAAACATATTTCTTGGGGAGAGGGCATGCAACAATGTTTCTTGTGAAGAGGGCATGTAACATTGTTTCTTTGGGAGAGGGCATGTACCAATGTTTCTTTGGGAGAGGGCATGTAACAATGTTTCTTTGGGAGAAGGCATGTAACCATATTTCTTTGTGAGAGGGCATGTAACCATATTTCTTGGGGAGAGGGCATGCAACAATGTTTCTTGTGAAGAGGGCATGTAACAGTGTTTCAATGCTTCTTTTGGAGAGGGAATGTACCAATGTTTCTTTGAGAGAGGGTATGTAACAATATTTCTTGGGGAGAGGGCATGTAACAATGTTTCAATGTTTCTTGGGGAGAAGAGCACGGAACAATGTTTCTTGGATAGAGGACATGACACAACATTTCTTTGGGAGAGGGCATGTACCAATGTTTCTTTGGGAGAAGGCATGTAACAATGTTTCTTTGGGAGAAGGCATGTAACAATGTTTCTTTGGGAGAGGGCATGTAACAATGTTTCCTGGGAGAGGGCATGTAACAATGTTTCTTGGGAAGAGGGCATGTAACAATGTTTCAATGCTTCTTTGGGAGAGGGAATGTAACACTGTTTCTTGGGGAGAAGAGCATGTACCAATGTTTCTTTGGGAGAAGGCATGTAACAATGTTTCTTTGGGAGAAGGCATGTACCAATGTTTCTTTGGGAGAAGGCATGTAACAATGTTTCTTTGGGGAGAAGAGCATGTAACAAAATTTCTTTGGGAAAGGGCATGTGACAATATTTCTGTGGGAGAATGCGTGTTTTAGGTTAAGAGGGCGTGTAACAATGTTTCGGGGGAGAGGGCATGTAGCATTGTTTTTGGGGGAGAGGACATGTAACAGTGTTTCTTTGGGAGAGGGCAGTATATGCCTTCATAGCTTGTTCTTCTTACAGTATGCTCCTTTGTAGATATATTAATATGTGTAATATGAAAAAACATTGCCATCACCAGACAGTTAGAGGAATTTCAGAAATCAAGGCAGGGTGTAAATTCAAGTGAATCGCTTTCTACCATTGGATGGTAGGTTATTCAGATCATCCTTCGACCGTGGTCCGGCTCCAGTCTTCCGTAAACAATACTTCTTATCGTTATTTTAGGATTCAGGATGGACGGTTTTCAACTTTTATAAGTATGAACCGTTTTGTCCCTAGTGTGCATTGTTCCATTTTGGGACTAATCCGGCAGGCGGCCATCTTGTATTTCGACAGTCATACTTTGTTATCATTACTTCTTGATAAGCACTTGATGACTCTTTCCCAAACTTTCTAATATGTAGGTTTCCTTTGATACCTCTCTGTGTCTTTTTGATTTTAGGTATGATCAGTAAAAACAAAATGTCTGTCTTGAATTTTGACAATGAAAGTTTGCCAAATTTTTTTTTCAATTTTCAGATAATAAAGAGCGAAAACAAAGATAACAAGGTAACTATTTAACTTTCAAAATACAAATAAAGATCAAACAATGGCGGGCACCAAGACCCATCTGGGAACTCTTGTTGATTAAATGATTAATAGCATATATGAATACACGTTCTGTCACGTGATACAATCTCGCTGAACGCCCCGCTTAGCACCCATCGAGAAATTGGCATTTGAGGTCAGACTCAAGCTAGGAAGTTATCTGCTTGAAGTTAGTATGCATATATGGACAGAAACACATGAATAATATTACAGACTACAAACGTATTGAAACTGATTGTTCAGAGACCTAGCTGATCCAAATTTGTCGAGGCGACATAGTTTGTCGTGTTGTGTGACTGTATCTTGGTACACAGTATTACTTGACATTGGCTAGACATGTGTCACAACAAGGGTAGGGGAAGATGTTTCGTGATTGGTGAGATGAAAATATAGCGTGATAGAGATATAGCTACAAACATGTCATTGAGAAGTCAGCCTACGTATTTTCACTTCCAAAAGATTAATTTATTTGTCGGATTGGCCTATCACTTGGTCAACAATAAGGGTAATTTTGAGTCAGGATCTCTTTGTAATTAAAGTGTAGTATGATGGTAACCTCATTAAACAACATACAAACTGACCGTTACATACCAGCCAGTGGAATTTTCCGAAAGCACAACCGCTACATCACAACAGACATATAAGGCTTTGGTACATGCACTTTAATCTTTGAACAATGACACGTTACAAACTTGAATTTGCCTGTGGTCTCAGTGATCCTGTATCAAACTTGATTGTGGCAACAGCGACACATTTTGACGACGATTTGTTATGAATAGAAAAATGTATTATTTGAATGTTCGTTTTGTCTTGCCATGTGTAAATAGTCAACATCTCGCAGGCGCGAGATTCGCCGAGATGTATAATATCTGATTCTAGAACTGGATACCAGAGTATGTCGGACGTAAAGTGCCTATAGTACCCGGAGCGTGTTGCTCCTGTTGCACTCTCGAGACAGAACTGGATATATTCTGACTGATTGACATGGTCGTTAAAATCTGTATCACTATATCTTGTTTTTATTTCTATTCGGAAACAGTCTTGAGGAACGTGTCTAAATTCTCGACTTGTTTTTACTCCATCTTTCAAAATATCCAAATTTGTGTCAGTGACAGACTTATACTTTTCCGTGAACCATTTTGGCAGTGGAGTTGGGCGTCTGGAATCAACACTCGTACAAACGAGAGTAGTCACGCACCGGGCAAGTTCTATTTTAGTGTCTGCGCATGACAGGATATAGAGATTGGTCATAGACGTGCGCCCTACTGCAGCTGCTCGAACCTCCACGAGAAGGTTTGACGAAGATAGATGAGCTATATCGGAGTAAAGTTGTAATGACATTCTCATTCCCTGACTAACTAGAAAAGCACGGGTAGAATCAGTATCAATTTTAGTACGGTCAAAGTATCCATCCCCGAATGCCACCATTGCCGCATGCATAAAGAATTTCTTCAGGGACGCTACTCCGATATGCCCTGGAAGAAAGAATGGTAGTAGATGTTCATGTTCAATGGAAAATTGTACGAAGATCGTGCATTAAGTAAACAAGTAAATAACACAGTTTAATACCAATTTTGATTTGCATCATACAACTGTTTCGTCCTACGACTCGTCAGTGATACTAATGGCCTGAATTTGGAAGGCTATGAGGTTTGGTAACAAAATATAATATAAACTTGATTCGTGTCAGTGTATCGGCGGGTAAACATACCTGTTCGATTAAAGAAAGAGGACGTAATTCCCCGGAACAACACCAGTCCGTTGTGGGAGGACATGTATATGATCTTGTACTGAGGAGTTTCATTAACAGAGCTGAACGAAAAAATACATCAAAATAAACAAAACATGGTCTAATGCAGTAATACTTAGCATAGCACAAGAAATGACAAAATGTGCCTATATATACTAAATGTATCTAGAAATGAAGTTGTATACTTAATTCGAAAGGGCTAAAGATATCTCGAAAAAAATGAGGTATGTCCATTCAAATTCAGAAACCCATCCAGGAATATCACGAATATTCTCTTAGAATTCCTTGGTAGTGCTTTCACAAAAACGGTCAGATAAAATTCCAAAACTGAAGAACAGGGAAATAATACAAAAATTTGTTGAAAAATCACAGGAAAGAATTAAAGTTTCATTAATCTAGATATGTCATAATCACGTGGAGCAGAAAAGCTAATCCCCACCCCCAAAAAAACCCCATAATTTTCAATCAATTGATCATAGATTGCAAACTACCATTTTTTTTTTTTTTTTTTTTTGGAAAACATAAACTGTGACATTATTTCAAAAGAAGACAAAACAAAAGCACAAGAAAACAAAATACGAGAACCTTTATACCATCAATCCATTAAGTAAACAGATATTTTGATTTATCAAGTGGAGTCATTGGTCACGTGAAAGAAAGTCTTGATAATGGCGATTCTCTCCAGACTATATGTATTTGTCACGAGTTCATAAAAGCATTTGACACAATTCCCATAACAGCTCGACTGGAAAGTTAAAATCATGTGGATTCTTTAAGAGAATGATAAATTGGATGCAATATTTCCTAAGTAACATATACACGCGTCTACGTACATCACGTTACGCCATCATGGCCACAGAGTGACAAACGGAACCCCACAACGGAGCGTTCTAAGACCTTGGTTTTGTTTATCGTTTTTCATCGATATCAAGGATATTCCGTATTGTCTCGAAACTATGACGCTATTTTTCGCAGGTGATAAAAATAATATGGAACCAGAGATGTATACTGGAAGGTCAAGATATAATACATGAATGATCAGACATTATTGCGTTTTCTCCGTTATAAATGTATAGTTATGACAATAAGAACAACGATACATAGATAAGGATGTACGCTGGGTATCAATGGTAGGCCAATACAAGGAACAGGATGGCAAGAGACCGAGGCAATGATGATAGGACCACTCCAGGAACCTGCCAAGGAACACTGGCAAATTAAAGGAGAACAAAGAATTCCATGAAGGTATTAGCAACGATATGACAAAGAATGAAAAAAGAGAGAGAAAAATCATCGAGGAATTCGCCTTACGAGTTCTCGGTCCACCATGGGCGAGGCGGATAGTGGCATTTCCAAGAAGTAAAAAGAATTGATGTTCGAACGAATGAACTGTTTTTTACTCTAACGCGGATCAATAAAGGAACGAATCAGATATACTTTCGATTGGGACTAATATTGAAAACCCGCATATAAATGGTATAACTGAGTTAGATGCGAATATTCATAGTTACAGAAACCTAGTATTACCTAGGAGATAATTTTACTGTATATTCCAAAAACTCGAAAATAACAAAAACAGGTGACTGCTGATTAATATCAAGAAAGTTCTAATGGAGATAGTGCGGCTTTACCAGAATATTTCTCCATATAGACAGGGATTCTTTCCTTTACCTACATGAGAGAACACTAAGCCAGTTGAGAGGATTTAACAAAACAAACGAATGATGAGAAATGGAAATGAATATTGAGCAGTAAAGCCCCTTTGCTCCGTTTCTTATCATTATGCCCCCATCAAACGAATCGTAGTTATAAATTCTGATTTCTTCCTCCAATGGCGAGGTTTCTGACACATTTCTGATAAATCTACATATAGGCCGTCACGGAGATCTTCTGATTAGTTGTAATTTACATATTGCCCGGTATATATGTAATTGACAAGGTCGTGCAAAACGGTTACGGAAAAAGAAACAGGATATATTTGCAATATCTTAGAAATGTGTTAGTACAAGAAACGTCAAATGAAAGCGATATTCCTGAGATGACAAGAAGGAAAATATCGGTACCAATGTTTTGCCTAAATTTACCGATAAGTAACAAGCAAGGAAATAACTTGTAGAGTTAAAACAGACTTGAATTGAAGAATTACATCCACTTACTTACTCAGAAAGACGGCAGATTCCATTTCAATAACGCTGTTACTATTGTACAATATTTTATCGGTATTTGTAGATATTCTAAGGTACAACACGAATTTTACAATATTTTATCGATATTTAGAGATATTCTAAGGTACAACACGAATTGTACAATATTTTATCGATATTTATAGATATTCTAAGGTACAACACGAATGGACACATGCTTCGCATCACGTTTTATCTATGGCTGGTGTTTTCAAAAAGCCTTCAATACGGCTCTACATGAAAAACTTATAAGGAGAATGTTATCGTACGGGTTAAATGAATGGGATATTAAATTTCATTTGAGGAAGCGAACAAATGGCATCAAAAAATGAAATAATTCAAGTTTGACTACGATGACGTCATCTGTTCTGTTCATGACAAAACATACATTATCTTCCAGATGGTATCATCTCTATCAGCTATCAAAATGTACAAAATGACACGTGGACGTTGAATTAAAGATACAAATGATGTACAAATGGATATGAAAAGATTCTCTGAGTGGAGTCGACAAATGTTTTCTGTAATTTCATCATGGCAAATGTAAATCTATTCTCATCGGTTGTCGGTCAAAGGAACGAACACATCACCTAAACAACAAAACAATCACAGAAGAATGTCCGTGAGTATGGACTTGGATTGATCGGAGATAATACTCCAACATTTGAAGACCAAATAATTGTCATTCGACGAATTTTTCAAACGTGGTCTGGTACCCTTGTAAAGTTATACATATTGATTAACCGGGAGGGGTTCAAAGAAGGGCAACAAAGCAAATACTCGGATTTAGGAGCTGTCAAAGCGGGATCAGATGAAAGATTAAATCTACCCCCTCTATGTTACAAATGTACAAGAAGACGAACGGTGTCAATGATTGAAACACCTAAGATTTCCTTAAATTGTGACATGGCTGTTCCGAAACACATGATAAATGGAGATACTACAAAAAATGAACCACCACATTCATAAACTGGAGTAAGAAAAAACATCATCACCATCAATAATTAATTCAAGGACAAACTTAATAAAGTATGGGTTGATCAGAAGTTTTTTGATACTTACAAAGATAACATAGCTTGTTAAACATGTGATATCCATACCCAAACCTTCATACATGTGTACATGATAATACATAATAAGCAAGGTGTATTTATGAAACAGTATGCCCCTGGTTGAAACAAAATTCCGAAGAGGGACATTAAAACTCTATTGTGTAAGGCATGTGTTTTCTTCATTGTGGTAATGATGTTTTTACCGTTTCAAATGTAGGGTAAGGTTAAAGAAAAAAACAGACAGCACAAATACAACATGCCCCAGATCTTTCGATCCGGGGACATAAAAACATGTGCTAGTCCACTGAAGAATATCATATAGATTCTGTTCCGGAAAATCAGCTTTTTTCTATACAAAGTCAAATCAGTAGGCTGAGAATGAACCAATATATCTGACATCAATGAAGAGATGTCCTGAAATGGATAATCCACACAAATATGACAATTATACTCATATTACAACAAACAAACAAAATCGGATTGCTAACAAGATCAACCCCATACCTGGATAACACAACTTTGTGTCTCTTATACAAAGCACTATTACAACCACATCCTGAATATGAAGAGAGTCAGGTACGGAACCCTCCCTTGAGGATAGACTGAAACTTAAGCCTTCAACACGAATGTACCGCAGAATTCGAGACAATATGATACAACTTTATGGAACCCTCACTTAATCAAGGATATAAAAAGGGTGTATATGTAAAGAAAAGAAACCAGCAACACGGCTGAAATGAGTTTATAAACACGATCACAACTTGTATGACACATACGCATCAGGAAGACAGCTTGTAATTTGGATTAAACAGAGAAAAACCGGACTAGAGTCATATTTTGAGCATTATAAAGACATTTGGAAATGGATATAGAGATGAGAAAACCTATAAGACATTTATATCATGTATGTATACTACTAGTATGTATGTATACTACTAGTATGTATGTGCTGACATGTCACTGACGTTTTGTCAAGTTTGCATGCACAACTATATCTGTATTGTTTTGGTTTTTCATTTTATCATGAGGGAAACATGTGTAATATATACCATTATACCTAATATACTTACCGTGCTGTCCAAGGATTTTTTGAATTCATCCTAACTCCGAGTCCAGTCACAGTCAATATGCAGAGTGCTGTTTACCGTCCTATATATCGACCCCGTGTAAGTAGCACATGATCATCTCGATAAACGTACACACATCCTCTCTCACCTTTTAACAGTTATAAATATACCAAAACAGGTAATTGCTATAAACTTAGATGTTACTTTGGTGTGTAATGTATGAAGAGCTGATTAATATTGTGAAGCAGCTTATTTGTGTAAAGTTATAAAATTAATATTCACCATTGATATTTTATCATATTTTATACTAACTGTTTGAATTGGATATCTTGATCTCATCTCTGGACAGCCGTGTTGGGCGTATTGACCTATTTTAATCTAGTGTAAATACTTCACAATTATTCCAGACGGAGGCGAGACGATATCTTTCACTCCCCTTGTATTTCTCGTTAAAAATATCACCAAGAAGATTTTGCCTACTTCGGTAGTTTTAGAGGAGTTTGTGTTTTGTTGGTGAAATTAGTAACTTTGCCATTTCCACACACACACACACACACACACACACACACACATTTGCGTTAGTAATAGATGATCTTTTCTGTTTGTGATAGATGAATTTGTATTCAGCTAGTGAGAGAAATAATGTATTATTTTGTCTTTTACGATAGCGAGAGTCTGACATAGCAGATACAAAACACGGGTTTATATGTCAATTTTCATGTGCCTTCCGCCAACTTTATGATTCCTCCAACTTTGATGTATCTACGTCGGGTCAGAGGTCAAAATAAAGGTAGCCGTGATAATGGTGTCATTCTCCTTTTTATTCGCAGAGTCTTGTGTTTACGAAGATGTGATGGTCGAAAACACAGATATAATATAGGAAAGAGTTTTTCACTGATTTTTATCACTGTTATAAACATATGTGGTTGGTAATACATATGCTAACTTACAACGGAAAATATTAACAAAAACCTTTGAAATAAGTGAACGTGTAAGTTTATACACTGGACGTGTTTGAATATATGGAACTTTTCAGTCCATAAAACAAAAGCCAGATAACATAAAAAGTGTCTCACATCAATTCTGTTTTATATTTTTTAAAACGATTTGAGAAACACAAGTATTTCGTTTACGTCGAACCTGCACACAATCAAACAGATTTTATGTCACTGTTCACTGACATCATCAGTTGACTTTTTTAAAATCGTGTCGTTCTTTTAGTCTTCATCATCCTCTCCCTCCTCGTCACCACCCAGTTCGTCGTCCACTTCCTTCTCCTGTAAAGCTGCTTTGAACGCGGCTTCCTCTTCCGGAGTCGGGTCATCTGCTTCCGTCACTTCCGGTCCGCTCGGAAACTCTGTCATGGCAGTTGATGGAATGGTAGGATCATATTCCGCTGGGAGGTTCTTCAACCCCCAACCCACGTATAACGTTTCAAAATATCTGGAACAAAAACTTCAGTTTGAGTGGTTGGTTAAATTTAATTCTTGGAAAATCAAATCTATAAAAATTATAAAATGTGATAACCAGCCCCGATTCTGTGTCGTGTCAGTTCTTTATTTTACCTGCAAAAGTAATTACCTGCCCTTGTCAGCTCCAAATGTGACGGCACCTGGCCAAGTGTTGGACTGCAACATGGCAATAGAATACTCGGGCACCAGCTTGGAGGAATAACGGGCAATCCACGCCGGACTCTCGCCGATACCTGTTAACAAGACCTGTATGAGTTACCTCGCTTCCCTTTCATTCGTCTTTTTTCTAATGACAAAAACCCATTTCTCTTCGGGCGATTCTTGTTCACAGCTTTTAAACAGTAGACATCGTGGCAACATCTTGAATTTTGATGCTTTACATTATAAAAGTTATGTTGGCGATATTTCATCCCGATATAAAAATCTTTGAGTAAAACTTTGGAAGACGAAGTGACACTGAAACAATACACTGTAACACATGTTAATTTAAATAGAATAGTACTCACTCTGATCTTCTGATAAAGGTGAGAGTAGTGGCGGACCAACTTCCGGTGTCGGTTCGTCGGGTTCCTCTCTGTCCTCTAGTTCACTGTCCTCCATTTCCCCCTCCACACCAGCCATGACAGGATTGTACCACGTGTTCCTGCCCTATACATCATTTACGGTAAATAATTAATAACAATATCAAGCGAATTTTAATGTTAAAAAAATAAACTATAGCCATGTTTACACTCTTCTCCAGATATACCGCCTTTAGTTATGATTTCAAAATCTTCACGTGGAAATTCATGGTTATTGATGAATATCTTTGTCCTAAATATATCATAGAAAGCTGAAAGTGACGCGTTAATGCTTACCTGTGGTAGTATCGACTTAACATGGTGACACCATGACTGAAGGGTAGGATCTACTAGTTCCCGGAGGGGTAGGCCGTCAAACTCTGTATCAATCACACACGCGTTTCGTCCTGCCGCTGTAACACAGATACAGACAGTGTTGAATTCCAACAATGGATTCTCAACAAATTGAGATTGGAGTAGTAACTCTTCGTTTCCGTAGGAACAAATTTTCTGAAACTACTTTCTTCCTCTGACAAAATTTAAACTTGTTTTTATGCAAAATTTAAGGTTGCCTTTCGTAATATTTTGAATGGCACTATGCCTTGGTACCCTCACAGTAAAGAAAGATGACGACACTATCAAAGTATTGGTCTGTAGGAAAAAACGCACAGGAATCAACGCCTCAACTTCCGATCGCACCATCCCTTACACCAGAATTTAGGCGTTGTACCAACCTTGCTAAACAGATGTGAAACAATTGTCACAGAACAAGACAAGAAGCAAGAACAAAATGTTATCCATAGCGCCATGAAAACATGTGGATATCCTGGTTGGGCAATCTAGAAAGTTAACAACGTATTTCATAGAAGCAGAAAGACTTAGTTCCGAAACAGCAAGGAAGAGAATAAACCGAATCTGCGCATGAACTGCAACGCATTGTATATAGGTGGAACGGATAGGAAAGTCGAGGTCCAACGTCATGAACATCAGAAAGAAGCGGAATCTCAAGAAGAAAAAAAATCACTTGATCAGAGCGAAAACATTCTCATTCCTAGATCAGTAAATCTGCACTTACAGATCATTCCACATAGCAAAATTATATCATTGAGTGGGGAAATTACAAAATGATAGACAGAAAAAACAACTTTTAGAAGCGGCTTGTTAATATAGACATCTGGATACGCCGCATCAAATTTCAACTCCCAGATGACTATACCGAGATAGCTGAACAAAGACATCCATTATATATGAAGACAGAATCTATATTGTTATAATCATGTTGATTCTCTTGACAATACAAACTACTGACATTTCAAACAAGACAAAATTCCTCGAAATTCTCCAATTCTCTAGATATTGGCATACTCTTTCATGGAGAAGAAAGTTGTTGATGTTGTCTACTAATGTTGTATGTATAATATACAAATACATCCAATAAAACTACCTGATGGTCCATTAAATAAATAGATTGTACTCAACAAGATCATGGGACCCTGACCTTGTCAGCACTTTAAGTTTAATCAGGTTTAGCAATGTCCAGGTGGCATTTGTTTGTTCGGGTTGAAGTACTGATTTGTCGCTTTAATAATTTTACAAGTGAATTTTCATTGGTTTCAGAGATTCCATACCTGCCTCTTCCGCCTCTTCCTCTTCCTCTTGATCATCAAACCGGAAGTAGCCTATGGGAGACACACTTGTTGCCGCACTTATACGAGCAATCTGCGCACGCAGATAGTTTCGTTCGACGCCAGGAAATGGTGGATAAGCGATGATCTGTTACATACAGTAATTGAATAGACAAATACAAATTTTGATTGTCTGTGCGACATATTTGAATGATTCATATTACGGAGACTGCATGTTATAACACCAGCTTTACTTTGCTTCAACTATCGTTCCAAGATATACAAACCACAGGCAGGAAAAAACTCCGTTCAGCCTTGATATACAGGAATAAGTTTATCACATCTATTTTATCACATAGACGTGCGATAAAATGCACTTTCATGTCGGTTTCATTGCTTGTAAGGTCGCGTGACCTAGACAATCTATAAGTTAATATTTAAATTAGGTTGTTAATTTGCATACACAAAGATTTGTCGAGTGATGTCTGGTTTTCATTTCATTACCATGCTGATGTCAGTTTCTAGGCCAGCTTGTACTAGAAATGATTTGATTTACAGCAAATATAAAATGATATAAATAAATAAACAGACTTTTATGTTGCTTATAAAAAGAATAGAATAAAATCATCTATTAATTTGTTAGTAAACCAATGCATGAATATCTTGCTAGACTGTTTACGTTAGTCAGACAGAGTATGACTTACAAGCTGCAGATATACTATTTTTGTCCAAGACTGCATAATGCATTTGTACATGCATCCAGTAATTGTCTCTATGGTGTAAATAATTAAACCAAAATGTGCACGTCATTACGTGATCCATACAAATTCAAATGTTCTACGATGATATCGACTTTGATGAACAAATTTTTTACAAACGTCTTGTTAATTTATTTAAGTTACATGGTAGATTGCACCGGTCAGGGGATGGAAATCAATTGTATGGTTCATTACTAAAGTCGATTGCTCGTTGTTTCTTTGATAGGTTTATCATCACGTGAACAGGTGGGGTCATTTTGAGGCGTAATCCCCATGCAATAGCTGAAGACTGCTTCATTGAACAACATGCCGGAGGCCCGCCGCTTGCCGTCCAGAGCAATAAGGGTAAAGTGTCTTGCCCATGGACACAACCTCGTCAGCACAGACGGGGCTTATTTGCTCAGCTTCATGAGAAAGACAAAACGCCATGGGTAGGGCGAATTGAATCACGCACCTTTGACCTTTACGTGCGGTTACGTAGGCATCGTTCTAACCGACTTAACGCTATGGTCGAGTGGATTGGTATTTGTGGTATGGATCATTGCTGAAATCGAGGTGATCCATTTTTGTTGTGAGCCATTTTAGAACGGATCCATATTCACATTTCATCGTGGTCTGGATAAGATGTCGTATTTTTAAATGATTTAAAGAAATAATGAAAGAAATGATAAGAATAGCTGTTGTTGTCGACGGAATGGTTGAGAGAGAATATCTATTTTCTTTCACTGGTCGTAGTCGAAATATAACCCTCACCCGACATAAAACAGACAGAAGTCTGTCCCTAGCTGACCTTTGCCCTTTACTTTTACCGATGATGCGTGCCACCTACCGGGTCATCAAGAGTGCCGGTGAAGTATCGGCGGATTTGCCGCGCAGCCACCACCTGGGCCGGAGTGATATGAGGCAATCTCTCCCATGGTAATCCAGCTGTCAAAATCAACGAATATTTCAAAATACACGAAACATCACATCTGAACTGTAGACAGCAAGTTGGGCCGCCTCTATAATTGGAGTTCTACACCTTCGATCGCATGAAACAGTTGGCACGAAATATAGCTTGTCTTCTAATAACATTGCCGCTTATACAAACGAAATTTTATACAGCAAAAGTAAACTCGGGCGTCTTCTCAATTTCAACTCTCATCTATTATTGATATCTACAGGTTTTCTCACTCGTAACCGAAATGGGGTTTATACTGTTTAAAAGCATAGTTCTTTCTCAATGATAATACAACGACCTTCTCTGTGATGGCGTCATTGTTTTGTCAGATGGGAGACTTAATAGGTAGAGTTTAATTTCAGGTTGGTTCTCATACACTAGGTACACAATGGTGCCCAGTGCGTCCCCCATTAAACAGAGACTAAGTGGGAAATCACATTAATGTTAGTATGGAAAGAGACACGTAAACAAAGTAACAAATTATTGATGAATATCTCTCCTTACATGTCCGAACTATACTGCTTGTTAGGAAAACAAAACGAGCGCCGAACGAAACGGATAAACCTTCTTAATGTATTGATAAAAAAGATAGGTTGTTATTGAATCTACAAATTAAGTATATATACATATTGTCGTTACTGGTAACCAGTCTACAGAAACGGCTTTACACTTCCTCATGGGGAACACTGAACTGGAGTGATACTAAGTACATTTCTTTGACTATTATAGATAAAGCCATTAGCAAAGAGACAAATCAGAATGCCAGTCGTTTCGGTATATCACAGTTCTCTGTGTTCCAATGTCTACCTCACAGACCATTAACCCAGACATAGTTAGCAGTGACAAAAATGTTTCAATAATGAGAGAAGAAGGGGGGGGGGCTTAAAACATGTACCTTCGGGAGGGTCTGGCGGGAGAGAGGATGGGGTTGTGGGAACTGTAAACATTGGAGGGTATATCTTCGGGAGGGTTTCATCATTGGTGGGGGAGTGGATGGGGGCGTGTGGGGACTGTAAACATTGGAGGCTGTATCTTCGGGAGGGTTTTATGACTGACGGGAGAGAGGATGGGGTTTGTTGGAACAGTAAACATTAGAGGGTATATCTTTGGGAGGGGCTTTATCATTGGCGGGGGAGAGGATGGGGGCGTGTGGGGACTGTAAACGTTGCAATTTGTATCTTCGGGAGGGTTTTATCATTGGTGAGGAAGAGGATGGGGGCGTGTGGGAACAGTAAACATTGGAGGGTATATCTTTGGGAGGGGTTTTATCATTGGTGAGGAAGAGGATGGGGGCGTGTGGGGACTTAAAACATTGGAGACTATATCTTCGGGAGGGTTTTGATGACTGGCAGGAGAGAGGATGGGGTTGGTGGGAACAGTAAACATTGGAGGGTATATCTTTGGGAAGGGCTTAATCATTGGCGGGGGAGAGGATGGGGGGCGTGTGGGGACTGTAAACATTGGAGGGTATATCTTTGGGAGGGGCTTTATCATTGGCGGGGGAGAGGGTTGGGGCGTGTGGGGACTGTAAACATTGGAGGCTGTATCTTCGGAAAGGTTTTATGACTGGCGGGAGAGAGGATGGGGTTTGTGGGAACAGTAAACATTGGAGGGTATATCTTTGGGAGGGGCTTTATCATTGATGGGAGGTGGCTGAAACCTTGGAAAGCATGTATTGGGATTAAGAGGGCTGTATCTTTTTGTAATGGTTGTATCATTAGGATGGCTGTATCGTTTCGATGTAAGCGGACACCTTATAGAACGTCGTAGAACGCAATTGTGACGGACTTACATAACAGCGAAAATTGTGTACCATAAATGTAACAAAATATGTCCTAGTTAGGGTTAGGATTAGGGTTAGGGGTCGGTTAGAATGATTGTTCAAAATCACAATGCGCACTTCCGCTATTTATTCCTTCTCACGTATCAATAAGGCTGGAGGATTTTGTTCTCACTCGAGAGTCGACACTTACCACGAAGGACCCTACCTTCCGTTTTAATATACCATGACTGAATAGATAAGAAGCACAAGTACCTCAAATCATATTTCCTATGGCGTCCGGTTAAGAGCTGAATGTCAATTATAATTCGATTGTTTATTCAACTTTAACACAGGGGACACTAATACGTCACATAGACACACAGACACAGCTGGACACACAGACACATAGACACACAGACACAGACACACAGACACAGACACACACAGACACACAGACACATACACACACAGACACAACTGGACACACAGACACATAAACACACAGACACAGACACATAGACACATAGACACACAGATACAGACACATAGACACACAGACACAGACACAGCTGGACACACAGACACACAGACACATAGACACACAGACACATAGACACATAGACACACAGACACAGACACATAGACACACAGACACATAGACACAGACACACAGACACATAGACACAGACACACAGACACAGACACACAGACACATAGACACACAGACACATAGACACATAGACACACAGACACATAGACACATAGACACACAGACACATAGACACACAGACACACAGACACATAGACACACAGACACATAGACACATAGACACACAGACACATAGACACATAGACACACAGACACATAGACACACAGACACACAGACACATATACATATAGACACATAGACACACAGACACAGATGTACACATAGACACACAGACACATAGACACACAGACACATAGACACACAGACACATAGACACACAGACACATAGACACATAGACACATAGACACATAGACACACAGACACAGCTGTACACACATACACAGCTGGACACACAGACACATAGACACATAGACACATAGACACACAGACACAGCTGTACACACAGACACAGCTGGACACACAGGCACATAGACACAGACACATAGACACACAGACACATAGACACACAGACACATAGACACATAGACATATAGACACATAGACACACAGACACAGCTGGACACACAGACACATAGACACATAGACACACAGACACAGCTGTACACACAGACACAGCTGGACACACAGACACATAGACACATAGACACACAGACACATAGACACATAGACACACAGACACACAGACACAGACACATAGACACACAGACACACAGACACATAGACACATAGACACATAGACACAGACACATAGACACAGACACACAAAGTATATCATTCTCTTATCTTCGTCAATTTATTTGTCATTGTCAAAATAGAACTATTTTATGTCTTGAATTCTGTATTAAAATCATGGCGGCGAACATGACGGTGACGTCAGAGACATGTAAGAATGTTTCCTTTATGAATAAATAATAAACTTCATTAAAACATACATAAAGCTCTTACGTTCGGAACACACAAAGTAGACTTTCCTATTGAGGCCAGTTCCGAGAGGTTCGCATGGAATCTTTGGCTGTGGTTTATACGTGGGTTTGATGTCATCAGATGTAGATAGATCTGAAATCAACACAGACACAAAATTGCAGACTTTACCTATAAATGACACGTGGCTATAATCTTAAGTAAATGACCTCAACACCATCAGAATGAAAACAGACGGATCGATTCTAGAGGTTTGACAATATTCAATTGTATTGAAATCGAATGAATATTATTAAATCCCGCCAATATAAAACTATGTTGACCTAACGTGTGTACTCCCCCTGTCTTACCCCATGGTGTTGGTAATACAGACTTATTGAATGATCAATCGCTGAAAACTGAGGACAGACAGATACGAGTGAAAGGTTTAAGGAAAATTACGTTTCTAAATTCAGTTTAAAATCGACGCCTTGATAGTGTGAGACGTATAAATCGATAACATTAAACAATAAATTCAACCGATCTTTAGCCAGCTTCACGTCAACACACATGAAGATTTATATTAAAATGAATACATTCCCTTACTAACCGTTTATATGGCTGACGCCAACCTATTGCCATATTACAGTCCAACAAAGATCTGCCGAAAACCGATCATGTAACAGTGATGACAGCAGTCTATCTATCATCAACCGTTCGTCTGAAAGGTTGTCGTCATTCTACAGTTCAACATAGTGTCTGTCGTCATTCTACAGTTCAACAGACTGTCTTCAGTCATTCTACAGTCCAACATACTCTCTGTCGTCATTCTACAGTCATACAGACTGTCTGACGTCATTCTACAGTCCAACATACTGTCTGTCGTCATTCTACGGTCATACAGACTGTCTGACGTCATTCTACAGTCCAACATACTCTCTGTCGTCATTCTACAGTCATACAGACTGTCTGACGTCATTCTACAGTCCAACATACTCTCTGTCGTCATTCTACAGTCATACAGACTGTCTGACGTCATTCTACAGTCCAACAGGCTGTTTGTAGTCATCTCACTGTCATACAGGCCGTCTGTAGTCATCTTACCGTCCTACATGCTGTCTGTAGTCATCTCACCATCCAACAGGTTGTCTGTAGTCATCTAACCGTCCTACAGGCTGTCTGTAGTCATCTTACCGTCCTACATGCTGTCTGTAGTCATCTCACCATCCAACAGGTTGTCTGTAGTCATCTAACCGTCCTACAGGCCGTCTGTAGTCATCTCACCATCCAACAGGTTGTCCGTAGTCATCTAACCGTCCTACATGCTGTCTGTAGTCATCTTACCGTCCTACAGGCTGTCTGTAGTCATCTTACCGTCCTACAGGCTGTCTGTAGTCATCTCACCATCCAACAGGTTGTCCGTAGTCATCTCACCGTCCTACAGGCAGTCTGTAGTCATCTTACCGTCCTACAGGCTGTCTGTAGTCATCTCACCGTTCTACAGGCTGTTTGTAGTCATCTCACTGTCATACAGGCTGTCTGTAGTCATCTCACCATCCAACAGGTTGTCTGTAGTCATCTAACCGTCCTACAGGCCGTCTGTAGTCATCTCACCATCCAACAGGTTGTCCGTAGTCATCTTACCGTCCTACAGGCGGTCTGTAGTCATCTTACAGTCCTACAGGCTGTCTGTAGTCATCTCACCATCCTACAGGCTGTCTGTAGTCATCTCACCATCCAACAGGCTGTCTGTAGTCATCTAACCGTCCTACAGGCTGTCTGTAGTCATCTTACCGTCCTACAGGCTGTCTGTAGTCATCTTACCGTCCTACAGGCTGTCTGTAGACATCTTACCGTCCTACAGGCTGTTTGTAGTCATCTTACCGTCCTACAGGCTGTCTGTAGTCATCTCACCATCCTACAGGCTGTCTGTAGTCATCTCACCGTCCTACAGGCTGTTTGTAGTCATCTCACTGTCATACAGGCTGTCTGTAGTCATCTTACCATAAAACAGGCTGTCTGTAGTCATCTCACCGTCCTACAGGCTGTTTGTAGTCATCTTACCGTCCTACAGGCTGTCTGTAGTCATCTTACCGTCCTACAGGCTGTCTGTAGTCATCTTACCGTCCTACAGGCTGTCTGTAGTCATCTTACCGTCCTACAGGCTGTCTGTAGTCATCTCAGTGTCCTACAGTCTGTCTGTAGTCATCTCACCGTCCTACAGTCTGTCTGTAGTAATTTCACCGTTCAACAGGCTGTCTGTAGTCATCTTACTGTCTGGTGTGTCCTGCAGGCTGTCTGTAGTCATCTTACTGTCTGGTGTGTCCTACAGGCTGTCTGTAGTCATCTCACCGTCCTACAGTCTGTCTGTAGTCATCTCACCGTCCTACAGGCTGTCTGTAGTAATTTCACCGTCCAACAGGCTGTCTGTAGTCATCTTACTGTCTGGTGTGTCCAACAGGCTTTTTTACAACCAACCAGGACTTATATGAATATGAAGGGCATTGGATTACTGATGTTCACGGGATGGTAATACAGCTTTAGTATAATCTTATGTACACTAAAGAAAAATTAGTGTGACAAAATGAAGAAATGCTGTGAAAACGTACACTAGACCATGTAATTTCCCATGTAAGTCGATTAGGCTGTGTTTTATTTCAAGCCTGGTCAGATACGCTTCACACTACTCTGATAATGGTGAAAATGTGGTCATAGAAACGTCATACAGAAATGTTCTGACTAGTTGTTATATAGGAGTAGCCTGGGTGTCTTTCGTCAACTAATCGTCATTAAGGCTATCACCATTATATTCTTCTACAAGGTGTCTGACGTCATTTTATTGTCCAAAATGTTGTCTAACGCCATCTTATTGTTCAACAGACACTCAGATGTCATACCATTGTTCAACAGACACTCAGATGTCATATCATTGTTTAACAGACACTTATATGTCATATCATAGCTTAACAGACACTCAGGTGTCATATCATAGCGAAACAGACACTCAGGTGTCTTATCATTGTTCAACAGACTCTCAGATGTCACCTAATTGTTCAACAGATCGTCTGACGCGTATTGTTAAATGTGCGACATATGTTGACTTATTGTTCGAGAGACAGCCTGATGTCATCTTACTGTCAAACAGGCGTCTGATGTTATCGTATAGTTCAAAAAGCCGTCTGGTGTTAACTTTTTGTTCAACAGGCCGTCTGACGTCACATTTTATTGTAAGCGTATTGTCTGCTGTCTAATTGCCGTCAAACCCATTTGCTTTTGCGTTTCAAGAAGGATTAACCTTCATATAACCTATCAATATATTGGCTGCCATCAACTTACCGTCAAACAAACTGTCTGAGGTCTGTAGGGAAGAAAAGAGGTATAATCAGTATGGTTACGATTGAAAGCATTACGAATTTGGACTTTTACAGGGAAGATAATTGGTTGACGAGAGGGTTTTCAGTTTTTTCGAGAATTTAAGCAAAGATGAGAAAATATTCAAACGGAGATGTTATCTTGCGTTAAAGATGCTATTTTAAAAGTGGAATTCTAGAGTATTCTGTAAGTAACGATGAAGTGTGTCCCTTGATAAACTGACAACATCACTTCGAGTTCACAATGAAGACGGGTCGGTACATATAGAGTTATGAAGTGAATAAATATTTATATCAGTTATACATACTCCTTCATCTGGGATGTCTATGTCGTCTTCCAGTCCTAGATCGCTAGTATCGCTCTCATAATCCCCCTCTTGAAAATCGGTCTCAACTACATAATAATTCTGGTGTATTCCGAAGATCTTTCCCCAGAACCGGACGTTCTCTATCGGCCATTGTTCCACGATATCGCGCATGGCAATTGACACTCTAACAATCTCCTCTCTCGGAAGTCCGAATCCGACTTGCTCGAAGAAGTAGGCTTGTCGTAAAAGGTTAGGAAGAACAGCAAATTTATCATTTTCAGATGGGTCAACTGAAAAAAATGAAAATAACAAATAAGTTAAAACAGTTATAGGTTTGCGGGGAACAGGTAAGAAATAGGAAGGACATGGATTTTGTATGAAGAAAGAAATATATCGAGTTAATAAGCTCTGTTTCAGTATTTATGAGAAAGGGAAGATGGATATGGAGTTGATAATATATGTTAGTTTCATACTGAGTTCAGATATAAATTAGTAGTTAAGGCGGCACATAAATAGTCTTATGAAGTGACAAAGTATGCTATCTCAAATTTACATCTTAGTGATAAACAAAAATACGTGTATGTTTACGAATAAAGCATCAAATGTGACGAGGAGACAGCACATTCTCTCTCCTGGCTTCAGTATCACAAACGTATTTGAGATCGACTCAAGCTGATATTTGAGTGCGAACTCAAAAACTCAATAAATCGATATCATAAACGGGAGATCAGGTAACTTTCATTTCACTTAGACCTCGTTTACATGCCGTTTACACGCCTGACGATTTATAATTAAAGAAAGAAATATGGGCCTGATGGGAATTTCAATTCGGGGAATTCAGTTCAAATGGAAACTAATAAAACAAAATTGATTATAGATGATCTTAATTAAGTGGAGTAAATGTAATTAAACTGAGAAACTGTAAGACAACTTATCAAGATATATCTGTACTTTAAATACAGATACTGAAGACGCAATGTCTCTTCGGCACAGATACAAATCCATGTGGAAATCAAAGTTATAGTTGTCAGGGAGTTAAAGTAGATATATAGTGTGATTGTTCAACCAGATTAGGATCAGGTTGAAAATATTCACCACAGGAGTACAACAAGCCCACACAGAAAATCACCACGTCGCATCGTAAAACATTAGTTAAAATTCAAGAACTGCAATGCTATTAAGCGTTTGTGTTTTTAGTCTTACAGATAGACTAATTGGGAGTCAGTGCTCCATTCTGGGAAAGCAAGTGCCATGCTCACTCCCTAAAACCTCTCACGTTATAACTTGATTTCTATTTTCCTTTTACACATTTCTTCATTCCATTTTTTACAAATATTTCTAATTTAACCTATAGACTCTTCACGTACATACTTCGCCAACGCAATATTTCCTATGGTCATTGCGGCTCTTTACGCCCGCTGTGCATTCTGGGAGATCCTGCTCCATGCTCACTCCTCAAACCCTCTCACGCTATATCTTTAATTTCTGAATTCATTAAGTATTTACCTAAAAGGAGAAATGACCTATCATTTTACAGACTGTCACTGGGAGTTTTAACGACTGTCTATCACCATGGTATCTGATGACGACCAGACAGAGTTAATGTCTCTTTAAACCACAATTTACTGTAAGATGGACGCCTAGACAGCCTCCTGGGGGACTCACGGCGAAAGTGATGACCGTAACACACAGAGAAAAAAAAACAATGCTCAATAAACTGTTATTCCATTTACTTCCCCTATATTTTGTTTATATTCCATGGTGAATAGTGTGAAATGTCAACAAGAGGAGATTGAATAGTACATAATTTAGAAAGATAAGCAACATATAGTTCTCTAGCACTCTAGCGTCATATTGGCACCAAGGGATCCCATTTGGTTTTATAAACGTATTTCTGACTGTTTAATCACTAATCAGCCACAACGACATGCTTTCGCATTTGAATTAGGATTCACTGGTCGTCTGTAGAGTTAAAACTGTCAATAAAGGCCAACAGAGAGCAGAGAAAAGTCTTTATACACAGGTGACCTTTATATAGAGGTTCAATTACTATAAATTGCATTACATAGGGAACCAAAGATGGCCTTCAAGACATGTTCGACTGTAATTCTACCTACAAGGATATTTTATGTATTCCGCATTGTCTTTGTCATTGTTCTATACAAATCTATTTTTTGTATTCCTCGGTATCTTACCGTGTTCTATACAAGTCGATCTTTTGTACTCCTCGGTATCTTACCGTGTTCTATACAAGCCGATCTTTTGTACTCCTCGGTATCTTACCGTATTCTAAACAAGTCGATCTTTTGTACTCCTCGGTATCGTACCATGTTCTGTACAGATCTCTCTTCTGTACCCTTCGGTATTTTACCATGTTCTATACAAATATGTTTTATACTCCTCGTTATCTTACCGTGTACTGTACAAATCTATCTTTTGTACTCGTCGGTACCTTACCGTGTTCTTTACAAATTCATCTTTTTACCCCTCGTTATCTTACCGTGTTCTGCACGGAACGATCTTCTAAACACCTCGGTATCTTACCATGTTCTGTACGGAACGATCTTCTAAACACCTCGGTATCTTACCATGTTCTGTACGGAACGATCTTTCTATAATCCTCGGTATCTTACCATGTTCGTACGGAACGATATCTTACCATGTTCTGTACGGAATCTTTCTATAATCCTCGATCTTTGTTCTGTACGGAACGATCTTTCTATAATCCTCGGTATCTTACCATGTTCTGTACGATCTTTCTATAATCCTCGGTATCTTACCATGTTCTGTACGGAACGATCTTTCTATAATCCTCGGTATCTTACCATGTTCTGTACGGAACGATCTTTCTATAATCCTCGGTATCTTACCATGTTCTGTACGGAACGATCTTTCTATAATCCTCGGTATCTTACCATGTTCTGTACGGAACGATCATTCTATAATCCTTATCTTACCATGTAATCCTCGGTATCTTACCATGTTCTGTACGGAACGATCTTCTAAACACCTCGGTATCTTACCATGTTCTGTACGGAACGATCTTTCTATAATCCTCGGTATCTTACCATGTTCTGTACGGAACGAACTTTCTATAATCCTCGGTATCTTACCATGTTCTGTACCATGTTCTGTACGGAACGATCTTTCTATAATCCTCGGTATCTTACCATGTTCTGTACGGAACGATCTTTCTATAATCCTCGGTATCTTACCATGTTTTGTACGGAACGATCTTTCTATAATCCTCGGTATCTTACCATGTTCTGTACGGAACGATCTTTCAATAATCCTCGGTATCTTACCATGTTCTGTACGGAACGATGTTCTGTTCTGTACGGAACGATCTTATCTTACCATAATCCTCCTCGGTATCTTACCATGTTCTGTACGGAACGATCTTTCTATAATCCTCGGTATCTTACCATGTTCTGTACGGAACGAACTTTCTATAATCCTCGGTATCTTACCATGTTCTGTACGGAACGATCTTTCTATAATCCTCGGTATCTTACCATGTTCTGTACGGAACGATCTTTCTATAATCCTCGGTATCTTACCATGTTCTGTACGGAACGATCTTTCAATAATCCTCGGTATCTTACCATGTTTTGTACGGAACGATCTTTCTATAATCCTCGGTATCTTACCATGTTCTGTACGGAACGATCTTTCAATAATCCTCGGTATCTTACCATGTTCTGTATGGAACGATCTTTCAATAATCTTCGGTATCTTACCATGTTCTGTACGGAACGATCTTTCTATAATCCTCGGTATCTTACCATGTTCTGTACGGAACGAACTTTCTATAATCCTCGGTATCTTACCATGTTCTGTACGGAACGATCTTTCTATAATCCTCGGTATCTTACCATGTTCTGTACGGAACGATCTTTCTATAATCCTCGGTATCTTACCATGTTCTGTACGGAACGAACTTTCTACAATCCTCGGTATCTTACCATGTTCTGTACGGAACGATCTTTCATAATCCTCGGTTATGGAACCCTCGGTATCTTACCATGTTCTGTACGGAACGATCTTTCTTTAATCCTCGGTATCTTACCATGTTCTGTACGGAACGACCTTTTGTACTCCTCTGTGTCTTCCCCAGCATTCTGAAAACATAACCATACCAGCAATGCATCGTTTTTATCATACCTAGTACTATTAGTGTTAGCCTACTGAAACAGATAGGTGTACGCTGCATGTGTTTATCTATAAAGATAAGTGACATTACAGCATTGCGGACATTGCAAATGAGATCAAGGAAGGGTAAAATCAAAGGCTCGCATAGCAAAAATTTAATGGAATTGTGTGTGGTGTTCATGACTTTCTCTTACTTGAAATAGATTTCTAAAATCGAGAAACTCTTTTTTAAAATTTTCTGTTCACATACGAAATAAGATACGGTTTGTTTATTAGTTCAATGATATCTTTATGATAAGGTTAATCATGTGTCGTGTCATGTTTACAGTGGAGGATTCACGCCATTCAGAGAAAACTACACAATGAAAGATTCACGACCTTCGAATGAAAAGTTTACAAGAAATGATTTATTACCTGCGGTAAACAAATTTACAACGAAAGGTTCACGGCCTCCGGAAAACAAGTTTACAACGAAAGGTTCACGGCCTCGGAAAACAAGTTTACAACGAAAGGTTCACGGCCTCCGGAAAACAAGTTTACAACGAAAGGTTCACGGCCTCCGGAAAACAAGTTTACAACGAAAGGTTCACGACCTCCGGAAAACAAGTTTACAACGAAAGGTTCACGACCTCCGGAAAACAAGTTTACAACGAAAGGTTCACGACCTCCGGAAAACAAGTTTACAACGAAATGTTCACGACCTCCGGAAAACAAGTTTACAACGAAATGTTCACGACCTCCGGAAAACAAGTTTACAACGAAAGGTTCACGACCTCCGGAAAACAAGTTTACAACGAAAGATTAACGTCCTTCGAAAAGAGGTCAAGTTTCTCATGAAAAGTTATGTTGTCCTTGAGTCAAAGAGGTATGGTGTTTGATTTAATCTAAATGTGATCATCAACAAATTAGAGAAATTAATTTTCTATTCAGGCGAATTCGAAAAGGTAATTTCAATGAATTATGTCCAAGTGTTAATTTTCAGAAAATATTTTCGGTATTTATGATCAGAGTTACTTCCCTAAGCAATATACACTAAGACATGGGGGTTTCCCTGGCTTCTAATGCTATTTGGACACAAAGCGCAGACATGTACCAACTTTATAGCAGCTGAACCTTATCCAGTGTGATAAGAATTGAAAAATAAGAAACGATACGTATTTATGCTTTCCATTTTTAAATTTGCATTGAAATATTGATTGATTTCTGCGTCAGTCTCTGCACACGTTATTTCCACGTAAGTTGCTTTTCTATAGCGTGACAAGTTCGATCTCAACTACTGACATTTTCAACACATTTTAGTAAATCAATTCTAGTGCAGTTGGTGTCATTTAATTCTATTATTCATATTTTTATGCATTGCATCGATTACTGGCCAAAACCCCGATCTATTAACTCAAGTGATAAGAATGCAGCAGATGTGTTACCTGATATTTCTAGTAACATAGAATCCTACTGTTTAGCGTTTACAACATGGTAGAATGTAGTCTCAATGTTCAATGTATCTTTAGGATCACCATAAGTCATGTGTTAAGCAGAAATCAAGAATTTTTCTGTCATTTCTTGTACACTTTTACAACGTATATGTTCAACATTTAACAACTTGACACTGACATCGGATGCACGTTTTTTGATAAACTGAAATAGGTGCTTCGTCATGGTAAAGCGCCATACCTCTTTTCATTAAATTTACAATGAAAGGCGTGTCTTTCGGAGGTCAGGTCTACCATGTTAGGGTTCACGTCGTCCAGTCGTCATGTCTGTAATGGAAGGATGTCCTGTTTACGATAAAATATTCAATGTTCGTAGTACTTCCGGATTTCATTCAACTCTATTTCACTAACCTGAAATATTCTCCACTGTGAATGCGCGAGGTATTGTTCTTGTGACGTCACTGTTTTGTCAAGGAGAGTTGTGGAGTCATACGAGAGAGCCTCTCTCTTTCGGTCTACGCTCCTTTCTTCTAGACCCTCAAACGCATCAGCTGGTTGGTCATACAAGATATCACCTAGGATACTGCTTAAGTGGTTATATCTACAACCAGAAATTTGTCATCGGGTAAGAAGGACGTCATGTTTCTAAAACATCCAAAGAGGTTGTGTTGTAATTATCTTATTCTGTGAATTTGATTTTGAAACTATTTTTTATAGTTACATAAAAATATTCTTCTATAATATTTCAAAATTCAAAACAATACTAGCGTTAATCAAACAGAAAACTCACAAATTCTTGTCCGTGTCTGTAGATGACGTCATCAGGTACATCTTCGCATTGATAAATCTTTTTTCCTCTTCAGAAACAGGCACTATTTTTTCTTCCTCTTCTTCAAAGACATGCTCGCCTAGCTCGCTCGCTTCTTCTTCACGTGATGGGAGGTCCCTCCTCCCTCGGATTTGGGGTGGTGGATTTTTCATTCTGAATAAAACGACAGCAGCAGAAACACCGAAATTCCGACAACACCACTGATGTCTTTATGTCTTCATCTAATATCGTGGCAGTCCTAATCAAGGTTAACTTGTATTATAGATGTTTTTTCCTCATAATTCCGAGGCGTATGTAGACGATGTATATATACCTTACTTATTTGAGAGTGAAACATCATGGTCCTTTAGTAACTATTTTCAACTGCTCATTTAGCAACCGAGTCGTAATTTGCCTACCAACGAGATTGTTGTCGGGGTTGGTATCGGGCCTCTTTGTATCGTTTCTGTGACCCCCTGACGTAGGTACTTTAATCACTGTTGGTACAATGTGTGTTATCTCTCACCCCATACACGTGTACATATCGACAGGTACCCGTAATCTCAGACTCGCCAGTACGCTCCGACATGTACCCATAATTCCTTCACTAGTCAATAGCCTTTAATATCAAGGTCAATGCAAACTTACCAGGTTAAGAAATAGGTAAGATAGCAAGTATGCATCGGAAGTTAATGCATTATAAACATATCAATATTATTTAGATATGTCACTGAAATGTTCCTGATTTCCAACCATTCACTGATTCACCGCTACAATAATTCTCTATCAATACCCAAGGTGAGACAGATAGCACGTGTTTATCTTCTGAACCGGAAGTTAATAAAGTAACGGTAAACAAATCTAACTCGTTAAACATACTTTGATATTTTCTTAACCCTACATATATACATATACATATATGATACATCATACAAATGGCAATAAAAGTGTTTAATTAAGTAGATAAGAATTAAATGATACCTACATTCTCTTGCGTAATGCTATTGCTATGAAGATTTCAAAGGTGGATGAACAAGTGATATTCATGCTAACAAACAGGCAAAGATGGTCATGCAGTTGGAATAAATTAGGCAACAGAAAATCAAGGTGACATTCTTGAATTTCCAATCCTTGAATGAGCCTCGAGTTAAGCAATGAAGAATCTCATCACTCGAAGTTGAGAATTCCTTGTCACGTCCTAAAGGTAGAGAACCATTCTACTTACCTACTAAACAAACATGATTTCTGCCCTAAACGTACCTGATCACTCATGGACTTTAATGATAAACGGGTAATTCACTGTTAAATTCATTATAATATGATTAGTAGACGGATATCATGTGACAGTGTAAGGTAGGGTTTATATTGTGATTCAGTTTTCATTAACTGCCCATAGTTCGAAAATTGGAACTTTGTAGTGACAGTGCTGTGTGACATGGAGAAGTGTGATAAAGGATGGGCAATAAAGGGTAGCCATCTTGTATGAGGTATCTTGGGAACGTTTAATAGGCTGGTTGTAGGATGCTGATCCTCATTGGTCCTGAGATGATGGTTCGTAGAAATTCAACAAAGCCGTGTGGCTTTCGTTTCGACAATGAGCGGCTGGGATTTGATGAAAGATCGCGGTCCTTCGGGACTTCAGTATATTGTACGTGACAGATTAAAGAAATTCGCATTGATTTGGCTTCATGAAAACATAGAGCTTTAACACATTTCAATATCTGAGGGCGAGTTTAGACAGATGTCAAACGTCGGAGTTTTCCATATGTGGATTGTTCACTTGCAAACTTCCGGTTGTTGACATCTGAAGGCGATGACAGTCCGAGATCCAACTAACCTACGAAACTATGTCATTTGCAGACTTTGACAACTTTGTTTCTATGAATTTAGACATATGTCACGTGTATTGAACATATATTACTGAACGAATAATAATGTTATTTGCTTAAATGCTAATCAATAGCATATATGTATTGATCTAGTGGAGTCCCTTATGAAGCCTGTCACGATAATTGCCAACAATGGAACCGGATCGGATAGAGATCTTATCAAAATAATAAGTACCCACATCGAATGTTCCCGTGTGTGTGTCATATGTGTAACGCGAATTTCCTCTCGCTTTCTCAGTGATTTTTAAGTCAAAGTTTAAGTTTAATATAACTTATAATCGATACTGTTATTGTTTACATACAATCTGAAACGACCTGTTCCTTAGTTTTGATCCGAATCAATGTATCACTTGCCATCTGATTCGCCTTATTTCTCCTCTTTGCCTCGCTCTCTCGATCTAATATCTTTGTCTTAATTACTCTCGGCCTCTGCGTCCGACTACAGTCTAATGGATTATATGCGCGTGCATCGTATTTACATGGCAACTGTTACTCCGGCAGCTCCCTCGTGCTTGACCGGATATCTAGCAAGGTCGGTCTAACCTCGCCATGTAAACAAACGCACGGATATAGTGATCAGTAAGCTGTAACATATTAACAACGTAGCAACTTTTGCCTCCTAAAACTGGTTCGATGACCTTCTTGTGAAAATCAAAGGCGCTTTGCATTGTATCATAGATCCTCTCAACATATACGATTTAGCAATTATTTGCAGAAGGTTGACCTATCATCACACCTATGGGAGATTTACTTTCTTTACTGTAATTAGCATTGCCGATGTACGAAATGTCTTCATCAGAAAACGGTCGTCCCAGTTGCTTCGATGTCTACGAACATCGCTTACATCTGTTGCAGTTTCCGATTACAACGTTCCACCACACCGTCTGGCTGAGGAAGATATGATAAGGTGCGTGATTTGGCAATTTCTAGAAAACTTCAGATGTTCACAAAAAATAGCGATTCAAACTTCTGCTTCATTTCGGAAAATAGTTTCCTACTTCACCATGGTCAATTTATTCTGTTATCCTTATCTAGAGTCTACAGGAATTGAAAGTCGAAGCCAATTGAATATTTTACGAATCAATGCCTCGTGAAGTCACAAGCAACTCGAGGGTTATCTACACATGCCTGTAAATATGATTGATCCATGCCGTAGCTGTGATATACAGAAATCAATGGGATTGGCAGGAACACAATCTGACTACAGAAAATGTTGTAAATGCTTTCAACACACAGTGTGTTGCATTCTGTTTATATTATTTCAAAAGAATTTATTTATTTAGAAAAAAAAATACAATTCAGTTTTGTGTCTTTGGATTCATGTCTAGATTTTCTTTTACTGTGTAGCTTAGGGGATAATCCGAAATCGTCAAATGGCTGACAAAAAAGGCGAAATCAATCTTGATGTTTACCTTCTTATGCAGAATCGTTCAATTATATGAGCAATGGAAATTACTTTTATGTGCACTGTTTAACATAGCTGAACGATCGTCCGCTGCAGACATAAATAAAAATTATCTCAATGGTTAGCAATGTTGAAGGATTGTCCAACTATAGACGATAATGAAAATTATCTCAATAGTTAGTGTTAATATAGAATTGTCTTATTGCTGTCAGTATTGAAATGTATTCCGATGTTTAGCTTTGTTGGAAAATGATAAATAGCGAAAACTCTCTAATGCTATAACCCGCTGTTCGTCAGCAATGCAAATTGGCCCATAATTCTTCAAAGTCATCTTGTTTTGTTCGGTAGAGACACATCTAATTGTCCTGTGATCCCTATATCTTTTGTTATCGTGTTGTATCATCTGATACGGAAGACCAGACTCGTAGTTGTCGTTTCATAATCTTTTCATTCTTCTTTGCAAATACATATTTGCCATTTTAACATCTGCTCGACTCTCAGGACAGACGCGTTGTTCTCGTGTGTTACTTTATGTATTGTTCATCACTGTGTCAAGGTGCGTACAACGTTATGACTTCGGTTTTATCCTAATCTAGCGGTTCTCGCGAGATCTTGCGGAATTGAAATTCTGTGAAATAAAACTGATTTATGAAGTAGCAAGGATAACAAGGATATCAAAGGTTTTCCTTCTAATAATGTGTGCGTACATTTACAGACATAAATGTCAGCATCGATCTTAATCTCCTGATATCTTTATTTACATTAATCCAATGGTATTCCGTTAGTTCTCAAATCTACGTTACTGCCGTCGAACAAAAGTACTGAAAGCATGATCCTAATGCTATTGTTTACTTATTAAGACCAACAGAACAGAGGCTCAGAGGGAGCTCTTAAGGTACCGTACAACCGCCTACTTCGGTCACTGAAACGAAGTTCTATAGTAAGGAAATGCTTTAGATCCGGAGTTGTGCATTAGCAACGCTCTCCCCGAGTGCTGTTTAAATGATGCCATTACGAAATCACACATTTAGATATCTCCAAATATTTTTTATTATACAATTATGTTTTCTAAGATTTAAAGCCAGGAGAGGCGCCCCTCTGTTAACTCCGCCGCTGTTATCTGTTGGCAGTGTTGATGGTGATCCCGGAGATATTGCGCTGTTCATTGCCGTAATGGCTTGTATCAACACAGTTTTACACCGGCATAATTGCATGACACTTTTATCGTCGATTGTTTAGGTTGCTGTTTGTTTTTATTGACTGTAGCTAGTGGTTCGCTCGCCTTCATGTCTGATTCCTAATTTCTATCTCCATATCTCCCTTGCCTATTCTACGCCGAGATTAAATTCCCCAATGACAACATGAACGACGGACTATCAACAAGAAACATCACATAATCGGACATTGATTTCCTTCTTCAAAATATTTTCTATAAAATGAAAAATCGATTAAATGTTTGTTAGCTTCACGTACTATGTACCATATTGTCCCCTGGGTACCGCCCCGTCCAACGTGACAGAGGCACATGTCAAATGCCTTCACATCTAACACGTCCCAAGGGGACGGAAATACTACATCTCAAAATCAGTTTCAAATTCGTTCCACGCCAAACCCCATGAATAAGCCGTCGATGTACTGTTAAATCTCCTCTATAAACACTGGTGGGATTCGTCCAGCAGAAACGTCTAAACCAAATCGCAGAGATGCCTTTACATGTATGTGTTGTAAGGCTTTGAAATATACAATATACATTTGTATGTATCAAAACACAGTGAAATTGACCAGAGACTAGGAATGCGCGACAGTGAGGCTTACCAAAGAGGCGGAATGGAATTAGTCACTCTGTCCAATATTTCCTGTAGGGGAGCGATGTTCTCAGACAACTTAATTACAAACCACATATCTGTGCCGTTGTTTTAGGGAAACTTTAGACTGCAAAGTTAATTCCAATGACGCTGATGACTATTTGGTGGAAACAAGATTTCGTTCAACTCCCGTACTCCAACTGTCAACCACATGTACGTTAAGGATTGTCCATTATAGATAGAGAGCACGAGAGAGCGAACGTGAGTTTAGTCAATATAAGCACGATCTACAGAGAAATGTGCAAATCTAATTAGTTTCCTAGGTCGGGCATGTGTCAGGCGAGGTCTAAATAGCTCGTCACAGATTCGCTCCATTCTGCAGTGTAGTGTAGCGTGATTCAGTGGCTGTGAGCCACCGTAACACATAACTGCCTATTGTACACAGGAATTATGGAATTACGGAGTTTGTACCTGCTGTCATTAACACTTCTGTTTACATACGGTAAGTCTGCACTGATACGTAGACGCATGTACGTTTTACACCTGTGCGATGCACGTGCTTGATCCTAACTAGTATCTTACTTCACTCAACATCAAAGCCTTTTTGTACGACCTGTTGCTACTACTATATAGTTTCAGATATATCAGAATATGATTTATGAAATCTCTTTCGACTTTTGTTTTGCGCCAGAAAAAATGGTTACGACATAAACATTATCTCCATTTCACAACCGAATGACCGAGACAAATTCCAACTCATGATGCTGGTTGAACGCTATTTACTCTATTCTTGTTATGTGTAGTGGTTATCTGCCGTCGTCCTAAATACTTTTTTTTTGTCATTTGTAACAAAACTATTTCTCATTTAAACTGTTTGTCTCCCTTACACAAATATCTGTCGCTGTAACAAACCCAGCCTTCGTCATATTTATTTTGTTACTGTATAACAGCCATTATACAAGTCTGGTTAGAATAATACATTAACAGTATGTTCCCATGGGGGCGAACGTTTTGTAAACATGAGGAGCAATGACACATTAACAGTGTTTACACAATGGCAGTGATTATTACATATTATTTTCTATATACATAGAGTGGGATTATAAATTATCGGTGTGTACATTTGGTCGAGATTCTGAATGAAATGTGTGAAAACATGGTGTGATTACACATTAATGCTGTGTATACATTGGTATGAATTATTACACATTTTCGGTGTGTTAAACTTGGATGTGATCACACATTAACAGGTGTATACATTTGATGTAATTACACATTAACAGGTGTATTCATTTGATGTAATTACACATTAACAGGTGTATTCATTTGATGTAATTACACATTAACAGGTGTAAATATTTGATGTAATTACACATTAACAGGTGTATACATTTGATGTAATTACACATTATCAGGTGCAAATATTTGATGTAATTACACATTAACAGGTGTACACATTTGGTATAACTACACATTTACGGTGTGTACACATTTGGTATAACTACACATTGACGGTGTGTACACATTTAGTATAATTACACATTAACGTTGTGTACACATTTGGTATAACTACACATTAACAGTGTTTGTATCAGTGGACTACTCTAGTAGCGTTTGATCATTATCGCTGAACAGATATTGGTAAGACTGCAGTAATAACGTTTATTTTGAATACTCCAAACTTACTCATCTGATTAAAGATAAGACGATGTTCTTCTAGTGCTCGTATACTAAATGAACTTCCGTCGTGGATGTTAATGTAATCAAATATCTGACCACGTGACCTCGTTAGTAAGTCGAATCAGTTTCATGTTTTCCTTCTTTATTTTGCTGTCAGAATTATGACATTTCTTTTTCTGACTTCATTAATTCATCACCCTTACCCGGTAAAATGTGTTAGCAACCTAACACGTGTCAACACCCTTATCCGGTAAATGTTTTAGCAACCTTACCCAGTAAATGTGTCAACACAATTTCCCGATAAATGTTTTAGCGACCGTACGCTTGTCTACACCCTTACCAGGTAAAAGGGTTAGCAACCTTACGCGTGTCAACACCCTTATCCGGTAAATGGGTTAGCAACCTTACGCGTGTCAACACCCTTATCCGGTAAATGGGTTAGCAACCTTACGCGTGTCAACACCCTTACCCGGTAAAAGGGTTAGCAACCTTACGCGTGTCCACACCATTACCCGGTAAATGTGTTAGCAGCCTTTCCGGTAAATGTGTCATCACACTAACCCGGTAAATGCGTTAGCAACCTTACTCGGTAAATGGGTTAACACCCTTACCCGGAAAACGTGTTAACACTTTTATCCGGTAAATGGGTTAGCAACCTTACGCTTGTCAACACCCTTACCAGGTAAATGGGTTAGCAACCTTACGCGTGTCAACATCCTTACCAGGTAAATGGGTTAGCAACCTTACGCGTGTCAACACCCTTGCCCGGTAAATGTGTTAGCAGCCTTTCGCGGTAAATGTGTCAACACACTAACCCGGTAAATTTGTCAACACCCGTATTCGGTAAATATGGACCTTTATTCTATTTTTTGTATGGTAAATATTGGAAAGATTTGCTTTTGTTTGATTTCTTTGTCATTTTTTAACATCAATTTTGTTCTTTGCGGATGTTCTACATTATTGATGTGAGGCAGGATGAAGAAATGTAGCCTTTCGTCCATAACCGTCTACGTTATGTGTATAATCTACGCTCTTCTGCATTTCTCTTCCGAGCTAGCTTTTTCCTCTGTCTGACTGTACATATGTGTGTCTATACCACAGTTTAATGTGATGAACATTTTTGTCTGTACTTTAGTTCGTCGTGTTAAGATTTTTTTGCCTGTACCGGATCTTAGTTGGACAATCTTATATATTACGGAGACACATTTAAAATATGAAAAAAATTCCGTCTTTCTGTCAATAACACAATTTATTCAGATAAAAACCACACACACACAACGGTTGCCATATAACCATGAATGTTGTGAAGACCATTCGTCTCAAACATAGCTTCCCGTCTTTATCACGATTTTACACCATATTACCGAGTACATTTCTCTCTGTAGTTCAATAAAGAATGACAGCTTAAGCCTTTTTGATCTACAATTCACTGGTAGGTCAGGGCCTTCACCAGGACAAGGTGACAGTGGTTTATATATATCTACTCTGACACCAACCATACCCCACTAACTCCTTTTCAGGTTGATATAGTAGAACAATAAATAAAATGTTACAAAGCGAGACTGATCAAGGGATGTGATGTAACTGTGTGTCAGATTTATCCAATGGAATTCCACAAAAATCTTCACTTGTCGGTGTTTGAGACGAATGCTATCTCCAATGAAATATTTGGTCTCGTTGGAATAGTTGTTGAATCTAATAATTCAATGTTGACAATCGAGACCTGCCTATTGTGATTTAGATATACATATATGTATATGTAAACATGTTACACTGTATTTCTTAGTCTTAGTCTTGGCCACAAGGTAAGGACTCAATTTCAATCAGAAAACTTTGAATCAAAATTAATTTTTTGTTTGTTAGAATAAGCCTTGTCGTATCCCTTGTCTCCTTTTCTGTTTGGTGCCATATGCCACCAAGCGAGTACCCGTACACTAACACTAAAAAGCTTGCTTTGCCACCTAAAGCAGCGTCTGCACATGTATTACTGCTGCTTAAACCATGCACGTGATCGTACTATATTTAAAAATGGCATGTCGAAAATGGTCAAAAGCTGATGGCAAGCTTCTGGAATGATTCGATGTGGTATGGCATACAGGCAAGTTGCTGCACATTTCAATGTCATTCCTTTTTTGTCTAATTTCGGTTAATGCAGCGTCTGAACTCGTGTCGACGAGCGTCCCAGGTCTGATAGACATCAAAGACTACAGATAGACACTTCTGTATATCCTAGTAGACAGGCGAACCCCATCCGCCACTGCCAACAGGCTCAGAGGACAGTGGAAGGTCAATGAACAATAGTCGACATTGCTCTTACCAACCATTAAAACTTCATCTGTTGACTGGAAGGCACAAGCAGTATTTGATTTGATGATGGCGGTGTTAGTGTTTAGGTGATGCTTTTCTCTAAACCGTGACCTTCACTTGCATGCTTTATATTAATCTGAATGGGCATAGATATCGTGGTAAGATCCTTCTACCTTTGGTTGTTGCGCATTTTTACGCGCATCCATTGGCATATCGGCTTTTAGTTATAGACGGCAATGCAAAAAAAACACACAGGGCCAAGCATAAGACTATCTCCGACAAAAAGTTATAGAGATGCTCCCGTGACCTTCAGTGTCACCAAGAATGATTCCAATTAAGCAAGTATGGGATTTTCTCTGACAAGAAGTCAAAGCACGTGGATCCAAATTTGACAAACAATTGGAGAATTACGTGCAGCATTGATTCAGAAGTGACAGGGGTTTCCTCAGTACAAGCTTCGGCGTCTAGTCAATGGTATCGGTCGACGAGTGCAAGAATTGCACTAGAGGCGATACTGATATTTTCACACCCAATAACACTCGTTGATTAGTTAGTCTTATATCAAGTAACATGATTTGGTGATTTGGTGACAATAAGAGGCAGTTTGAGTAAAACATTTGTTCTGGACTTGGGGAATGCATTTTTGAGCACGTCTTTTAACATGATACAGTACTTCCGGTTCCATAAAGTTAATTTCCTGTCGGCTGTGTTTCGTAAAAAGCCAAAAACATTCCTGTATATCCTGTTGAATAATCGAATAATCTTATAAGGTTCTTAAATACAGAGAGCAAAATTAAGCCCACTCTAAGGTATGGGTGGTTCCTGACTTCTATCCTAGAGTGTATGTAGTGAGAGCAATCAGGCACCACAGAGACATTTTCGTTGCACGAAACTTTCCTGCTCTCACTACTGTGGATAAAAGCACATCTTCTGTCACCATATTATCATTCTTTATGATTACCAAGGAGAAGTAGCTATCGTCACAACGTTAAAAATAAATGAGGCATTTGTTTCCTTATTGAACGATATAGTGTGGCATTCATATTCGTTCCAGATGACACAACTTTGATGTTAACTCTAAACATTCTCGTGGTACTACTCTCAATATATCATATAATATTGTTCACTGTGTGCACTCTCTTCAAACTCTATATTCTACACTATCGTGTACTATCGTTCGATGTACTCTTTCTATCGTGGTAATATCGCTGATACGAAAAATGTAGTTCACTATGACATTAGCAAAACGAACCTCTCAAACTTAGTCAACTAGTTTTTGTGTCATCGTAACGCTTATGGATGTTAAGTAAATTGCGTTTGCTATGCAACGCATAGTGATGTTTTGTTGTATATTAGTTTGATAAATGTGATTTGAGTTTAAGTAGCTTAAAATGCATTGAAACACATAAGGCATGATTCGAATGTGTAGAAAACTGTAGTACAACCAATGTGTCCTTTGGTTAAACCAGAGACCGTGTAAGCATGCGTCATCATAGGGCAGTATGGCAGTCATTG